AAGATCCCGGATTTCGATGTCGTCCTTCATCTTAGGGGGGATTACCTTGCCAGGAAAGGCCACTAAGATTTTCTGCATCTCAGATTTCACCAACACAGGACAGAGGCCCGCAATAATGTTATCATCGACATAAACTGAGAGCTTTAAAGTTTTACCGTCAACCACCTTCCTGAATAGTCCAGGCTCCGTAGGGCACATTTCACATCCTAACTTTTCCAACCCTTGACGATAAGTATCAAACCATCTACGCGGGCTGATGCGCAAGCCGTAGAGGCTCTTTACCAACCTAACCAGGTCACCCCTTGGGTCCTTGCTCCAATGTTTTGGCAGTCTTACAATAACTTTCTCGTCTCCTAATGCTGCTGAGATAAATGCGCTTTGAATATCGAAAAACTCAGTGTGTGACTCCGACGCTGCAGCATCGATTAGTAGTGTGCGGCTAGCTGCATGCGACACAGTAGGAGAGTAAATCTCGCCACACATGTCCTTTTTCTGTTTGTTCCCCAGCGCCACAAGGCGGGCCCTGTAACGTCCACAGCGTTTGATGGTGTAGATAACTACACTGGGCACGACTTCATCTCCAAACTGATAGCCGCCGTCTTCCAATGCTTTCCAGCACTGCCGCGCGATGAGGTTTAGTCGTTCTTCGTTATCTGCCTCAATGAACTTTATCGCGTCCTCCCTTTCCATTGCTTTCGCCCTAGTAAGCTGAACATGGAAACACAAAACTTCCTCCCCTTCTTCAAGCTCACGCTTGTCGAAGGCCTCTGGAACGTCTCGGGCGAAAAATACCTGAGCACCATCACCATCCACAGCCGCTGCCCAGGCAGCTGCTGCCTTCGCGTTTGCTTTCCGACGCCGTTGATTGGGTTTCGGGCCCGGCTTCAACGGCCCCGGTTTGTTCTTACTGCCCTTAGGTGGGTCTGCCACGCTTTCGGCGCACATATGTCACCCCGTCCTTGATCTCAACCACCGGAGGTTCTTGGTGCTCCTCCTGAGCCCCCTCCGGCTCATTGATCTCTTCAGGTCTAGTCTCTTCTGCAACACTGTTAGAAGCGTCATTGTCATTTTCACCACCCTCGACCACGATTGCCTCCCTGTCCTGTTTCTCTTTTTCTTCTTTTTCTTTTTCTTCTTGAGTATTTTCTTTTTGTTCTTCACTGTGTTCTTTTTCTTGAGGTGCCTCTTCACCGGACAACGGACCTCCCGTGTTCTGAGGAGCACTCTCCTCGGGCTGATCAGGCTCAGAGGCGGCCACCGGAGAATCTTGAGGCACATCCGAAGTACACAGTGCGTCTGGCAACGAATAGGGGACAAAAGTACCTTTTGAAAACTTTCGCAGGTCGTTGATATTGCTGACGAGGATGCTCTCATCAAGCTTACAACTGCGATTCTCGATTACTGTGAACCGCAAACCAGCCCTCGTTCTGTTATCCTCATGCCATACCCCGACAAGGTAGCACGAGTTAACCGAGTAGCCCAAAAAGATACCACGCTCGTAGCGCTCGTGTAATTTTCCAAGACCTTCCGTGACATGTATTTTTGCGTATGCTAAGCAACCGAAACGCTTAAAATATTTTGTGCTAGGTTTTCTGTTATGCCGTTTCTCGAACGGCGACAACTTCCCCGGCTTCCGCGCTAGGCGTGCATACACCCAAGCAACGTAGACCGCACAATGAGGCCACATTTTCGGACCAACTCCAATCATATTGGCCCTAATAGCGTTTTGAGACGTTTGGCTCCACCTCTCAGCCACCCCGTTTCTGTTGGGCGTGTAAGGCGCACTATAATCAGCTCGAATTGATGGACTTTGTCTCGCACAAAATGCCCTCCATTGTGATTTCTCCCCTTTAAACTCTGGAGCACAATCTGCGCGGGCAGCTTTCATTTGTCCATTTCTGGCACGCCACTTCTTCAAACAGTCGACACACTGCGACTTCTTTCCCACCGGATAGTTTTCCAGCCAACCTGTGAACTCATCAATAGCACTACAACGCCAGATCTCATCGTGTAGACCAGGTGGATGCGGACCCGTAAAATCCCAATCCACTTGATCATTAAACGCCGTAGGCTTGAGATATTCTGGCCGCTCTTTAGCTGCGCCACTCTGTCTTGACTTACTAAGCATACACTCTGCACATGGTGGATGCTTTAAGCCATGGATGTGGAAATGACCGCGCCGCCTATGCAGTTCTAATCGTTCCGATGCAGTCATATTCTTCCAAGCTGGCGCTGCTTCTTCTTCATGTCCCTCCACTTCCATGCAGACCAGCTCTCCCACATCATCACCCTGCCAATCATCAACAGAGTGCGGAGCCTGCTGGAACTCTATAGGGACTGTTGGCAACTTTGTTCCGGTATCCTTCCCCAACCGCCACTTTTCTCGAGTGGTCCTATTCTCTATATAAGATTCATCATCAAAGACAGTCCTCATACCATCTCCCACTAGTGTCTTGACACTCACCAAGAACATATTTAGAGCCGGGTGGTATATGCCACTCTGTAACCCCAAACAGTTCTCATGGAAGACCCCTCGATAACCGACTTCGTCGAGTTTTCTGTCTGCGACAGTAAGCTTAATAGGCTTCGCCCAGTCAATGGACTTGAAGTATTCCCGATATCCCGCCAAGTGATGACTCGCACCACTGTCAACCACCGCGCTTACTTTGCGGCCAACCGGTCCAGGTCCTTTGCTTTTGGTCTGAAGTTCGTTAAATAATGCATATGATATGTCCGTCTTAGCAATCACGTCACCCGAAGGTCCCTGATGATCTTTGTCTTCTTTTGTCTTGTTCTCTTCAGCTCTGACCACTTCACCCGAAGGCTCCTCATGATCAGAAAACGTCACTTCTAAACACTTAGCTAACTCTTCTCTTCGTTGTTTCTTCATGGTGTTCCCACCATGTTCCTCGGCTTCTTCTCCTCTTTTTCGCTTTCCTTTTTGTGCTGCTTCGTTGTTCTTACCTTGTTGCAGCTTGTTGCCGTTTGAATGCAAGTTTTTGACTTTCGTACTCGTTGACTTCCCATAAGATTCCAAATTTTCCGCATTTCCGTATTCCATTGCTGCAGCGCTTTCCTGTGGTGCTTGTGATTTTGAAGAGTGATTTTGTTGCACTTGTAAAGGTAAATCACAATAAGAATGCAAATAGTTCTTGTCTCTACTTTCAGGATGCAAATTGTTCTTTTCTTGTTGTTCTACTTCTGGTTGCAAGGTACTAGCGCTATTGCTAGTGTAGTTGAAGTGTGCCGGGGCACTTTCTTCTTGTTGTTCTTCTTCCAGACGTTGGTCTTCTTCTCCAACGACCTCTAGACGTTCTCCTTCGTCTTTTTCATGCAGTCGAAGATCTTCTTCTTCGTCGACTGCTAGGCGTCCTTCTCCGCCTAGTTCTCCTCCATCCCCAGTGATTTCTCACTGTTTTTCCTCTTTCTTCTTATTCTTAGGGTTGAAGGGGCACGCGACCTTTTCGAGACCGTACTTTCCACAGCAGAAGCATGCCTTCTGCACCGGCTTCCACCAAGATTGCTCTTGGCCTTTTCCGCCTTTGCCGTTGTCCTGCTTCCCACCCTTTTTAGGGTCTTTGTCTTTTCCTTTCTTGCCCTTCCCTTTGCTCGTGCCTTTTGGTCGTACCCAACGGCCATGCACACTGTAGCGCGCATGCGCGTCTTCTTCTTTTCCACGGCTGTCCCGCTGTGCTTGCCATTCTTCGGCAAGAACTCGTAGCTGATCCAAATCTACCGCCTTGTTGAGAAGTTTGGGCATCAGAAAATCAGCTAGTTCTTGTTCCAAGTTGCAAAACGTTCCGAGCAAAGTTAGTTCTTGCATGGTAACTTGTCCACCAAGCTTGTTCTGAAGGATGCTCTGCTTTCGAATGAAGTACTGACGAAGACTTTCCTCCGGCTGGATTTTGTCGAAAACCAGCTCCCTTAGACCGTTCAAGCGAGAAGCCTTGGTCTTCTTTTCGTACTCTGTTGCTAACGCTTTCACCGTACCCACCAGATTTCGGTCTTCTGGCTTAACCTGTAGTAGGATTTGTTCCGCGTCACCCTGCAGGGCACTTTGAAGACCACCATACACACGGGCGGCCTGTTTCTTCTTTTCCTCATCCCACAGACTGTCGCCCGCTGGCGTTTGTAAACTTCTCTGCAGGGCCTCCTTGATTCCGAGCGACTCCAAAATATTTTGAAACTTGATCTCGAAAGCCGACCAGTTTTCGTCTTTGCCGTCGAAGACTGGCAAAGTAACGAAGTCCCTCCCTCCTGGCGTCGTCATGTTTTCAAAAAACACAAAAAATTTTATCTCGTAGGGAAGGAAAATTTTGCGTAAGGTTTTGTAGAGATTGTTAGACCAATAGCCCACCTAGTGCGAACACAGATTAGACGCAACGCCAAACCGCACGAGTAACTTGTTGATTATGAACTTCCATGGGGATTAGCCCGGTACTCTACATAACCTGCACGCAGTTAGGCTATGCCGTGGCTGTTGTTGTTGTTGCTTGTTCTGCTGCTTACTGAGTACCTAGCTACTTCCTGAGCCTTCTCGTTCTTGACCTTTCTCCTGGACCGTGCTAATCGGTTGAACTTCCTCACGATGTGAATCCTATCGTGTTGACATTCTTCATCCTGATCATCCTGGTGGTGATCTACATGATCTTCCTTATCCTTGTGGTGATCCTGATCTTGATCCTAAGAGGCAGAACGCGGGGAGGATCTCGATCACGTTAGTATTCAGTATATCACAAGATCCATGATCCCTACAATTATTATTATTATTATTATCATTTAAGTATCATTATATTGTTACGCTTATTATATATAAGAAACCGGGGTCGCCCATTGGGCGGCCCCTCCTTGATAACAGCACAGCCACAAGGTAGAAACATAAGAGAAAGCAAAAAAAAAACGGCTGAGGCACGGAGCGCCCGCCCCTTGGCCTTGGCGGCTGCCGTCGAGATGATGGAGAGGAACAAAGACCGAAGCAGCCCAGCACTGAACCCAGAACCCCTTGCGCGCGGAATCAATTAAGCACGCCACGCCAATGAGCACGGGACAGGCCCGGCGGACACGCGCGCGCGGGGGCGGAGGTGCTGCCAATGCCGTAAGGGGCGCTCGACGTCAGTGAGCCCTCCCAAGCCCGCGCGCCCTGGTCGTCTTCGCGGGTCCCGCCCAGCTTGCCCCGGGAGATTGGCTGGCCAGCTTTGGCCGCTAAGGCCTCTCCGGTCTGAGCTGCCCGCGTTCTCGCCTAAGGCTAGCTGCCCGCGGGTTTGTTCTTTGGCTCAACGAGCGGGGGCTGCCCATCGATCCCACCTCAGCCCCCAAAGTGCCCCACGACCTCCCCAAACGCAGCACGACCTCCCAAACACAGCGCGACCCCCTAAGCCTAAGCACAGCACCGCCCGAAGCTACAACTTGGCCACGCACACGCAGCGCGCCCCCAAAGCAACCCACGAGGCACCAAATACACCACGGCCCCCCAAACTTACACACTAACACACCACGACCACCAAAGAGGCACACCATGACCCTCCAGGCAACCCACTACAGCGCCCGGCGCACAGTATGAGCATGAGCATGGGGGGGCACAGCATGACGCGACCCCGCGCACAAATTACCACAGACAGCCAGCGAGCCCCCAAAAGACAAAAGAAGCAACCCCGCAGACAACACGCAGCCCCTGGGCTATGACATGACCCAGCCGCCCTATGGAAAGAAAAAAGCGAGACCACAAGAGGCACCACGGCCCTCCTTGGGCACCCCCTGACCCCAAAGGCACTGCATGCCAACCCATAAAACTAAGCACGGCCCCAAAAACACGGCGCGACCCCCAGGCACAGCACAGACAACCAAAGGGACACAGTAAGCATGACCACCAAGACACACCAGCACGACCGCCAAAGACACAACACGAACCCCAAAACAACGAACACGGCACCCCTGGCACAGCATGGACCCCAAAACACAGCAAGACCAGGACCCCGAAGGGCACAGCACCACCACCCCGAGCACGCCAAGGCGACGACTAAGACACAACGCGATCCCTGAGAACCACCACGAGACGACCCCCCGAACAGATGGCGACCGCCACAACCTACTAAGACCTCTCGCCCATACACCATCAGGCCCCGCATGACCACGCACCAAACAAAGCGCAGCCACCTGGCCACGCACCAGAACACAGCGCGACTCCAAAAGCACAGCGCCAAGCCTGCCACGGCTCGCCGACCTGGATTGACCCCCCGCAAGTCACACGGTCGCAGCACATGACGACACTGAAAAAAAGCCAAGCCACAAAGGGAGAAGGATAAGCCTGGCCCCCATTTTAAAGCCATAACGTGACCCCCAAACAAAGAGCAGCGCGCAACCCCCGAAGCACCCATATGGAGGACCGTGGCCCCTGAAACGCACCACGCGCACCCCGGCGCCGCGCGGCCTCCTTTCTAAACTCACTGCAAAACGCAACCCGCTGCAGCGTGCGCATGCCTTCCAAAACACCACGGCGCGCCCCCCTGGGAACGAATTGGCCCCCCCGGCACAAGCAGCACCCACCACCCACCGAGCACCACCCAAGCAAGACCCCAGAAGCAAAGTGATCCACGAGACGCAAGCCACGACCCTCCACCCAGCGCATCACCATCGACCCCCCGAAAAACTTCACAGCGTGACCTGCCTGAAGCATCTACGCACATGACCCCCCCGAAGGAATGCGACACCGAAATGCCATGCCTCCCCAAACGCCGCGCGGCTTCGAGAAACAGAATGACCCCAAGGCAAGCACTGCCGCCAGCATGGACGCCGAGCCCCTCACTCGATGACCCCCAAGGCGCACCGCGATCCTTGAAGACCACCGCAGCCAGATACTTGCAACCACACACCACGCGCCTCCCAAGTTACTAAAAAAAGCGCAACCGAAGGCGAAACATCACGACCCACCGCCACCAAAGCTTGCCGCGCTTCCCCTGGCGCTGACACGCCACGACCTAGCAAACACGCTGCGGCCACTTAGATACAGCGGGGCCCCTTAGTAGAAACGCGGCCGGCTGAAGCCATTGCGCTGCGTCTAAAACATGACGCGGCCCCTCGCTCAAGATCTGCACGACCCCGAGCATGCACCGCGGCCATGCATCGTCCCACTTTCCCGCGCTCTCCCTCCAGGTCCAGGCACACAACGGCGCCCCGCACTCCGCGACCCCTCAGACCTGCAGGAAAAAACACGGCGCCCGCAGAATAGTGAGAGGCCGCCTGCGGCACCGCATTCATTCCCCCCAAGACAAAACCCGGCCCCTCAAGCACCGCGCAGCCAAATGGACACCATTGCCCCAATCAAGCGTCATGACCCCCCCCCCCGACACACCGCGGACAGCACCCAAGACCGGACGCAACCCACCAGGCACCGCGTGACCCCCTAAAGCGCCGCGGCGCAACCTCCCAAGAGCTGCACAGCCCAAGAAACAAAGCCAGGCCCCCTGAGCAAACACTGCCCGAACCTTTGGGCACTATGTAGCCCCCCAAGCACAGCAAAACCCGCCCAAGGGGACACGGCGCGACCCCCCCAGCATGAGGCGGCCCCACTCGTTACACCCTACGACACGCCAAGCAGACACGCCACGACCCTCCAGACACACCACGACCCCCCGGCAAGCACATGCCAGGACCGTGCCACGACCAAAAAAAGCGCAACGCGACTGCTGAAACGCCGAGCGACCCCCGCAAACGCACCACGAACGACCACCCCAGACACACCACGCCCCCCCCAAACACAGATCGACGCCGCGACCTCTAGACGCGCGTCGGCTCCCCGAAGCATGCGACGCCAGGACCCTGAAGCGACACTGTGACCAATACGGCCGAGCCTAGTGCTTCGCCAACTATGCTGAGAACAGAGCACAACTGTGACCAAAAAGGCGCGCAATGGCGTCCCAAACGCCAGGCGACCCCCCGAAAAGCAAAGGACACAGCGAGACCCCCCCAGGCACCACATGGCCACACCCCTCCCCCAAGGCCAACACCACGCAGCCGGACCTCTCGGGCACCGTATGAGCAGGCCCCAAACAAGCTACAACATGGCCCCACAAAGACAAAACAAAGACGCCACCGCCCCAAAAAGATGGGAAGCAGCGGGGCCCCCCGAAGAAACGCGCACGGCGCGAACCCTAAAGCCCAGCGCCTTGCGCTGTTTCTCTGCTTTCTTTCACAAATCTCATACGGACGACGCAGCCAACGCCTTCAAAATAAGAGCAAGAAGACCCACCGCGCGGGGCTTAGTATCAAGAAGCTCGCGGAGTTTGGGAGGACGCTGCCCATCGCCTGCCAGACTTCTTGGGGTTTTCTTCTCAGAGAGATACCACGGGGCAAGCCTCTAAAGTTGCCAACCGTTTTGCGGCTCCCTCCTCGCGTTGTCACTTGCGCTTGCGACCAGGCGCAGAGGGCCCGAGGGGGTTACTTACGCGGAAGCTGGGCGCCGCGTTTCTATCTTGGCGAGATTGCCCACCCGCAGACTTCTTTGGCCGCACTCTCCTCGAGGGGTGTCCAGATCCCAGAGGAGCTAGCCGCGCGCCTGAAGCTATGCCCTCGCACCCGCGTGGCTGGCTCTCACTTTCGGCGCCTTTTGTTCAGCTGCGCGCCGCGAAAATCATCAAGCACGCAGGTGGGAAGGTGTGAAGGCGTTGCCAGCAGGTTGGCCCCCCTTCCCCTTAAAGTACCTCGCTCGAAGCCTCTGGGCGCACACTCCCACGGAAGATTTGCGCGACGCTAATCCCACTACTGTGGTGCTGGCTTTTCTGCAGTTTTCGCCGAGGCTTTCAAGCGTCTCCGCGTCTGATCTGGCGCGGAAGTTGGGGAGGGAGCTGCGCAGGGGTTGGACAGGGGTCAGCCCCCCTTGTCCCCCCCGCCCCCCCCTAAGGCCCCCCTTCTCCAGCCGAAGACTCCGCAAAAAACCCGGCCGAGACTCTTTGGACCATTTCACAGGCGCAGGCCAGGGGTTGGACTGGGGTAGGCCCCCCCGTTCCCCCCCTCTTGTTAGTCACAGCGGCATCGCCCGCAGTCCGTCGGCCGCACGCGGCGCAGCCCGCATCGTAGAACGCTGAGGACGGAAAAACATGAGCGCCCCCCATCAAAACGCCACCCATTTCAATTCTTGGAACGGTATCGGCAAGGTTATGGCTTTCGGCTTTTTTCGTTATTCGATGTCGCTGAAAGAATCGAAGGTCTGCGGTTTCGTTTGCGGAGTGTGAGCCCCAAGCACCGGAGTAAAGCTCCCTGGGGCTTGCCCTTCTTTCAGGGCCGTCGTGCGTGTTTGATGGGTGCCCTCTTCAGACAGGTTGCGACGTCGGTTTGTATTCCTCAGAGCCAAGCAGGCCGCGCACTGCCAGGCTATTGCATTACAGGCCCGCACGTCTTGCCTCACGGCGGGGGGACTCCATCGGGAGGGTAGCGCTCGGGACTTGCGACTGGGTTGGGGAGAAGTGGCCTCAGGCTTGCGGCCTTGCGAAGAGGGTGGCGCAGGGGTTGGACAGCCACAGGAGTTGGACAGGGGTCGCGCAGGGGTCGGGCAGGGGTTGGACAAGGGTTGGACAGGGGTTGGCCCCCCCTACCTATTATTATTATTATTATCATTCTCATTATCATTATGATTATTATTATTCTTCTCATTCTTATTCTTACTTATTATTATTCTTATTATTATTATGATGCTCGCGCGCAATTCTCACATAGTAACGAAGCCGCTGGCTAGCAACAGTTACATAGTGCTTCACAAGTGAGCGCTACTGCTGCGACTGAGTCCTCCTAACAAGTCAAGTAATAATGATTCGAACGACGTGAACAAAATGCCCACGGCCCGGCATATACCCGAGACAGCGTTTTTAATGCCAAGAATCACTCGGAAACTGGTGAAGAATGCAGCGCAGTTGCATTCATTTTCTGCACAACCACAACGCCATCAATCCAAGAAGACGCACAATCCCCAGAAAAGAGACACTTCAAGTTCAAGCTCAGGGCATCCCCGTCTCTCGCCCCAGACCTCGGTCTACGTTTTTTTTTTTTTGATCTAGGACTATACGCTGCCACCCTTTCAATCATTTATTTACCCCCTTATTTATAATCAACCGAATTACATACTGGGTGCGCATAAGGCCGCACAATCGGCCACAAATCTACATCTATCGGAGAAGCCGCACACTCGACTCCTGTAGAAAACCTAAGGCGCAACCCGACGCAGCGGGGCCCCGTGAGCAAGTCAGCACACCTGCAGGGGTATGACACGCCGCAACACTGATGTTGGATATACTGACGAAATGCCTACAGGATGAATATGAATGCTAAATAATCAAAAAACAAATAGCTAGCGCGAAACCAGATGAGCAGGCCTTAGCTAAACATAAGCGCAGAGATCGGAAGTAAAAAATAAAATTTGGATCTCGACCAGTGAAGTCACATGCCTCGCCGGTCATCTACAGCGCGGAGCTAAAACGTGACTAAAGCGGCCTGATAGAAGAATGCAAAATGGCGCAAAGCGGCCCGGAATATCGCAGGAGCCCCATCATCATATTGGTGCGACTGTCACTAACTTACTAGACTTATTATTATCTTCTTCCTTTCGTCCCGTTTGTCTTTTCTTCAGGGGCTTGGGCTCTTTTCTGCCTTGTTCCGGCTAAGTGAGTGCAAAACTCTTTTTGATCCCGCCGCTTCCTTGTGATGCAGTCTTTCCTTCTATCGTTTCTCCTCCCCGGATGTTAAATGCCACGGCAGCACGAATTTAGAAGAGATCAGCAAAAGGGGGGGGGTTTTGCCGAGGAGTATGGAGCTGAGAGGCTGATTAATGAAGAATCCAAATCAGACACAAAGACGCCGCATTGAAACAAGAAAAGTAAGTAGAACAAGAGTGATGAGTTTGGACTTACGCCAGGAGCACAAATACAGACCGAAAGACGTTCTTTAATCATGCCAGCTGCCTCGCAGCTACAACTTAACCGGGGGGCAATCGATTCCCTTATGTCCGGGTCTGAGACTGCTCACCTCAGCTCCTCACTTCGTCACTTGCTGAGTCCGCGCGATGTCTGAAGTAACTCATCGCGGATATTCCGCCGTGGTCGTTGAACGCATCCGCTGAGTTTCGGTCTGGACCTCGGTCCCTCGCAATTCTTTCGCAACGAACTAGTAAAGGCCACACGCTTCACGATGGTGCTCACAGCACAGCTCTGATGGCTAGCGATGTGTCAAGTCAGTTGAGTATGGTTACAGTAGAAACAGTGGATCAGCCAAAGACACAGAGTGAGAGTTAGAGTTTGAAGATAACGTTAGAAAAAATGAAATGACCACAAAGCACATTATAAAACACACGGAAGAGCAAAAACTTGAGCAAGCGTCTACAGCTGAAAGAAGGGGAAAATACAACTGGAACAGTGGGACTCTAAGTCAGAGCTTCCTATAAGAAATGCCTCTAAGTCGCAACAGAGTGTAGCTACAAGCTCACGCGTTCGCTGACTCGTCTTCCTTTTTTGACTTTCGGCTTTTTGCTGCCGGGGCGAATTATCCTTTTCCACGTAGGTTAGCCAACTAAGTTCTTATCCAGGATCTTGCAGCAGGCTGTCATGACTTTTCGACGGAACTCTGAACAAAGCCACTCGCGGTTTGTGGTTGAAGCACCGGCTGCCCCGGTAGTTAGCTTGACTGCACAGCTTTTCTGCGCGGTTTCCCTAATGTGCAGTAAGCGCTTGCCTTGTCTTGGTCAGCAAGTTGCTTCGGCCTACTTCTACCTCGATGCCCCTTTAAGCTGCAGTATATGTCAAGAGGTGTAGACTACACGGTCGGGGTTAGGTGCACGGACGAAAAGCTGACTAATTAATAAGAGGAGCCTACAAAAGCATAGCAAAACGTGAGAGCTCAGCTGCGATAGTGCACGAAATAAAAGGAATATAGAAAGTTGCTGAAGGTGTCAAGAAGTGCTAAGTACGTAAATCAAAACACGAGGGAACTTAGGATCAGAACGCGAAAAAAGAGCTTGCACGATCGTGCATTGCAAATCCTTGATGTCTATGCTGGTTATGTCGATGAGTGAGCTAAGCTTGTTCTTCGTGTGGTTGTAGTTAAGTTTGTCCGGAAAGTCACCTTGTAAGTTAAGCGGGCACCTAATTTCTCGCATTGGGTATCGTTGCCCTTCTCTTCCTGCGATATCCAAGACGTTCGGCACGTAGTTGATAGTGGATGGCATCCGAGTAGCTTCGACACGAGAAACCCCATCCATTTCGTAAAGTTCAGCGATCCGCGCCGAGTCATGCTCTCCGACGAAACGCACCTGCCCCGGAAACAAATCAGATAGCGTGGACCACAACTCAGTACCCGCGGCCGAGTCTTTGACTGTCTTCAGGCACAATCCACACACCACAACTATAGTGCCCTTGTCAGAGTAGGTAGTAGCCTGGAGGTTCGCATCCGCGTCGACGATGTGTCCTCGAAGAGCCAGCTTCTTCAAAAGCACAGCGACCGCAAAAGCAGATCGGTCCTGGTCGTTCTTATCATCACAGGTGGACACCTTCGTAGCCGAGTCGTCGACATTCGCCACATAGGTCAGCACGCCGCTTCTGACGTCATACACGGATGCGCCCAGCTCGTTGGTGATGATAACGAAACCTGGCGTCCAGAACCCGAAAGCGCCCGCAAATCTGCCGGGAATGTTCTGGGACTTTGGGAACGGAATCCCAGTAGCGGCTAGACATCGTCTACTAGCGTCGGCGCGGTGAAAAAGCCTACAACGTAGGTACGGCTCAGGTGCCGCAGCTTCATCGACGCGCAGCGGGCGGAGACGCGCGAGGCTGACGGACTTCCGAAGAGTGGTGTCGGCAGTCGCCATGTCTTCAAAAAACTGCGCGCCGTCCCCATCTGTGGCGAGCAGGCTCAGGACAGGTCGGCAAGTCATGTACTCCAACAGCTCGGCGCTGCCAGTAGTGGCCACGAACTTGGCGGCCGCGGTGCGGGTGCACTTTACGCCGAGAAGGTAAGGCTCCACGATGGCGAGGAAACTTGACGAACAAATTATAAAGTGGAGCTGGGTCTTGTGCAAAGAATTCGCGCGACGGAGTGCAGCTATCTGATGGGGCCGAAGGCCAAGCGACTCGGCTACGGCAGTCGCGAAATCGTAGTTGAACTTAGACCAGCGGGCAACGTCCCATACTGCGACGCCGGCCGCTACGATGTCGATTATCGGCGTCACAAAGGCCCATAGGAGCAACATGCGCAGCCCTTTCCCCGAAGTCATCCAATTCGAAGACGCCAAAACTCGGCGCACTTTGATGTGTGCGAATCTCAAACGTTGCTGCGCCAGTTTCCATAAGGATTCGCCAACGCCAAGCGAGAACGCAGAAGAGATGGGGCAGCCCAGCACCGTCAGCGAATCTTTCATGTTGATCCGGAGTCCGAATGGCGTGAAAGTTTTTTCGACTAGCTCACGCACGTGGCGGACCATGTCGGGGCAAATCACCTTGCCGGCGTTCACGCCGCTACCTTTTAAGAAGCCTTCGAACTTTGCCGCAGCGATGTACTGTCTAGTGCTGTTGTACATGTGGACGGTTAAGCCCTTCAAGGCGTCAAGCACCAAAGTCAGGCTGCCGTTGGTCACGTCAATCAGAAGAAAATTGAAGGCGATGCTTTGGTCGTCGACATAGGCGACGACAGATGACGAGACGTAGACACAATATCCGCCCGCATCTTCGTCCTCGGCACCGGCTGGCCTCCTCGTTTGCGGGAGAGGTCCGACAAACAAGACACCGTGATCGCGGTAGCCACCGCCACGGATATGATGGTCCGACACGTTGCCATTCTGGATAGAATAGAGCGGCCATATACTGGGGTCGGACGCCTTGTCGTCCGCTATGTCATCCAAGGCGTCAGCGCGCGCGCGGAGGATGTGCTCGCGGGATAGTCTCCCAGTGGAAGTGTCGTAGCATCCTCGAAGAAGCCGCTTGGTGCGTCTGAGTGATAGAGTGACAAGAGACATCCCTGACGCCATCACTTCCGCCGACCCCTGTGCGGCTTCTGCGTGACATGAGACGCGCGCGTAGTGCTTGCCGTTGCGTAAAAAGAGGCTCTTCTTCAGATTGATAAAGAAGAAAAAGAGGATCGCAGTTGGGTGGACGAGGCAACGAGCCAACTGCTGTATGACGTCGCCGAGTAGCTGACAGTTGAAATAGTTTTGCTGGTCGGTGTCTAAATGCAGCCACATTTCGCCAGCCCGTAGGGACAGCACCTCTTGAGCCCAGCGGAGCCAAGCGCAGAGCCGGCCGATGCCGGGTCTGCCGCCTAGTGTTTCAGCTCCCAAGACGCCGGAGGATTGTGCCTCAGCTAAAACTTGCTGGCCAAGGATACCGCTCAGAGGCCGCAACGTGCACGAACCGCGTATGATGGTGCGTATCTTTTTTATCGAGGCGACAGAGCTCGACTTTCGTAGTAGTTCAACTACCTGACGCACCCAACGTTCCTCGACCACACCGCCGAGGTTGTAGACAGGGTTGGTCTCCAGCTGGCGCAGGTCGTTGTTGTAGCACGCAGCAAGGTCCTCCTTCAAACTAGGCGAGAGCGACTGCAGCACCTTCATGCGGATACCCGTGACCCCACGCACCTCAGGGTTCGCCCGAGCCAGGTAATCGTCGAGCTGTGCGACCGTGACCCTGAAAGGGTGGCACAAAGACTGGGCACAGCGTACTTGCTCCTTCATCTGGTGGCAATTCTCCTCGTCGAGAGCAGACGCGAGGCCCAGCGTATCGCGCATAATGCGGCTTTTGAGTAAGTGGCATTTACACAGTTCGCGCGCGACCGCGTCCGCGCCGACAGTGATGTGGCCGCTATCGTCGATCTCATGCAACACACCGGCAGGCTCACCTTTTTGAGGGCCGTGGATCTTGGCCCTGACTGTTCTCGCCGCACCATATAGACTCGCGATCTCGTCGTCAGTCGAGGCGGAAGACGTCGATGCCCGTAAAGAGTCGCACGTGTCAAGCCATTTTTTAAACGCCTCAGCCTCGCGGTCCGCGTCAGTAGGTGCATAAGCTGGCTGCGCCGTGACGTGCTTCATATTAGCACAGAAAGGCTTCGCAAGTCCTGCCTCAATCATGTGCTTCGCAGCCCAAATTTCGAACTGCATGGCTTGCGACTCACCAGGCACCACAGGAAACCGAGGCGGGTGCTTCACAGCCGCCGCGTCCAGGACTTCCTGCAGGCGTTCACGGGTGTGCGCCTCATCGCCGCGCTTCATGTTGCACGCAAAAGGGACACTTGCCACGAGCTCCGCTTCTGTGACGTCATCGAACTTATGGCCCAAACAAGTTTGCCCCGCAGTGGAGAACTTGTCGTAGGATGCAGATAGATTCTCCGGGGTGAGCGTGTTGTTGCTGAAGTCCTTAGGCACAGCAGAGGCCTCGGCAGCCGGAGCGGGGCCAGATGGAACATCTCGAACGCGTCGCCCTTTGACTTCTATGGCTACATGATCCACTTGGGTATCGATGTCGATGCCATACTCCGACGAGATGCGACGATCCGCGTCGAGTATTTCGGAGAGAGTGGCGCCGACGTATCGCCAAGCCCCCGCGAGCCCGCTAGGGGGGTCAAGATAGAATTACTCGCCGTCCTTACGTATGACCAGCCGCCTGGCCGTGGGCTCGAGTAAGCCCCTTACCGCAACTGGGTCAATTTGAGAAGGTGCGCTACCTGGTTGAAAGTGTGTGTAGCCACGCAACTTCAGCACACTATCGAAGAAAGACAGGAACCAATCGAAAAGCGGAAAGCACACAGCCGCCCGCGTTCCCGAATAGTTCTTGCGCATGAGTGTCCGCGACTCGTGGCCGGCGAAGATGTAGCTCGCGCACTTGAAATCAGCGTCGCTGTAGAGAACCGCTGAGGCAGACCGCCGGCAAACGTCCTCGGTGCGTGCGATTAATTCCCGAGTTTGCTCTTGAACGTGCACGAGATCGAAAACGTCATACTTGGGATGACGCACATACACGGACACCTGCCCTGGGTTATGTCGTGCTTCCGAGACACCGCCCACCAAAGTGCGCGCTGTCCGGCGCGCGTCGAAGTGGTGTTCTGGACTAAGTTGTCGCCCGCGTCGAGTCGTGGCCTCTCGGTGAGTACAGCGCACGCAAACTCTTCATCGGCTACACGAGGTTGAAGGTCCGGCTTAAAGCGCCACCCTGCAGCGCAACCCCCGGAGGAAGTGTGACTATCGTCCTCGCTGACGGTGCAGCCCTGGAGGTAGTGCCGCACGTTATTGAATCCCCTTCCATAGCTGGCCTCGCTGTCGTTGCTGTGGTTGATCGGTAAAGGACGCTCGGCACCTACGTCCGCGCGTGTAGAGCTCGAAGTCGCTAGCTGCGGCTGACTACATGGGTGAGCACTAATTTGAGAGGAGTCCACTTGGCTGCAGATCAAGGAGAGTTCTTCCCGTTTGATGTTAGCTCTACGCACTTCGTTGTAAATTTCGCCGATGGGTTGCTGCTCGCGCATGTACTTGCGGAGGGTGCCGCGGTTAGTGAGGCCCGCCAGATTCCACGCGAGAAATGACATCTCGGCGCCTGCCGTATCGTCGGGGTCCAAAGCGTCCCCGTCGTCGTCCACATCGAACCAATGATCAAAATCGAAATCATCAGCCAAATCGAAAAACTCGCCACACGGGGAATCTTGGATTGCCGCGCCTGCGGATTCAACAGAGGCGCCAATGGTGACGCCCACCATCCTGCTTTTGGTAGACTTATTCGGTGTCTCCTGTTCTGGTCCTTGGCAGGCACCTGCTCGCTTCCTGGTGTTCTTGACTCCTAGAGATGACGACGACGCCGAGGAAGAATTAGTTGTGTGAGCTGGGCCATTCGACTGCAATGGCGGCGAAGTTGTTTTTGTCGTGGCTAGACCTGCCGGAACAGTTTGCGAGCAGACGAAACTACGAGACTCGGGCGGGTTCGTTGAGTCGACTCCGACACTTTTCCGCCGCGCGTTATGCAGATTTACTTGCTCCTGTTTGCTTTCCATCTTCTTGCGCCTGTAGTACTCGGCTTGGTATTTGCGCCTCTCCTCAATGAGGACAGCGCTAGTCTTCTTCTCAGGCCGCGCTAGTCTTCTTCTACGGCAGCACTGAGGGATGTTAAAGGTGTCTACTCCTTCGAGTAGAAAGGCCTGGCCGACTTTATCCGCCCGGAACGCGACTCACCCATAGACTTTTGCTTGCCTAAGCCCACCATACATCAAGAGAAGAAGACAAAATAAATACAGCGAACTAATCATCGGATAGCGCCTTATAGTCATCGGATAGCAACTTGTTTAACCTAACTACTGGACAGCAAAGTATTACCACGCGCACAGCTTTCCAGTTCCACTGTGTCCTAGCTCTCGACAGACAGCACGTTATAAACACGAGAAAGAAAGAACGAAAGTCAACCGAGAAGAGATGCGTCATCATTAGCAAGATCAACTTATCAGTCTTTTGAACAGCAGCTTTTTTTTTATATCTTTATCTTCGTCCGTTACCTCTCGAAGTCCGGTCCCCCCTGTGGTCTGGTTTTTTTAGTAGGTGGCTCATCAAATGGGTTTGACCACAACGAACGAAAGAGAAGCGAATTTAGTGCAGCCTCGTGATTTACTCCATTCACAAGCCAACACAAGCCCACCTGTCACTTACGATCCTTGCGCACTTACGCCTTTTCTTCTATCTAGGTAGCCCCCGAGTCGCCTCCACTCGCGCCCTAGCCTCTTTCCCCGCCCTCACCATCTCCTTCTCGAGCCCGCCCCTTCCGTGCTTTCGTTTCATCGCCCGAGTCGCATCGTTAGCTTCTTCAGGGCCCATACTGGCAAAGCCCGGGACTACGTATCGCGCTGCCACTCGTAGCTCCTCCTCATTATCCTCATCTTCATCCCCGCTCGTCACCGCCTCGCCACTCTTCGCTTGCCTCCCTGCGAAGCCTCCACTGCAAAACTTCTCCCTATACTGCGTCCACGTCAGCCCATGTCGCTCCCGCTGCACCCACCACCTCGGCCTCCCTTGCCAATGCTCCTCGTGCGAAAAGTGCTTGTCCATACCCGACGCCTTCCATGTCGGCCAACCATATGGTTGGCCGCGTTCCCTCTTCTGCTGCCGCCAGTATTGAAGCGCCTCCTTAGTTGTCCCATACAGCTCCGCAGTGTCCTTCGGCGGTGCCCATTCACCATGCATGGATCTCCACACCTCATTTGCGACCTTCTTCCTTGGTGCAGGCCTGCTACTGTCAGGCAGTCATCTACATTACATTTCACAACAGCGTTTATAATACCAAGAATCACTCACACTCGACAAAGTGAAAAAATTGGCGAAGAATGCAGCGCAGTTGCATTCATTTTCTGCACAACGCCATCAATCCAAGAAGACGCACAATTCCCAGAAAAGAGATACTTCTTGTCAGTCATCTACATTACATTTCACAACAGCGTTTTTAATGCCGAGAATCACTCGAAAAAGTGAAATTGGTGAAGAATGCAGCGCAGTTGCATTCATTTTCAGCACAACACCGGCAATCCAAGAAGACGTACAATTTCCAAGAAAAGAGAGACACTTCTTGCAACAGCGTAGGTACCTTCAATCGTGATCAATAAAAACGACAAAAAACATGGCGCTTTGGTTGTATGAAGGCGAATATACCAGATTCGTGTAAAAGTGATATGATGCCACGAACAATAGAAGAAGCCATGTATCGATGTTGATGCGATTCTGAAAAGTATCGCACTTTTTACCCACCTCGATATCTGATTCGGTTTTTTTTTTGAACTACACCATGAAGACATACTGATACTCCCCCGTATTTTGAAGACGATAAGCGGGCTTAACTTCCACCTCGGATGATTTTCCTGAAGACGTAATCAACTAACACCCTTGCTTCGTTCTGGTTCAAGAACTACTTTCACCAAACAACATATGGTTATGATCGACTTAGTCTTAGATTCATAATACAATTTCACCCCTTTAATCATGTATTTCTCTAGGTCTCCCATCTAGCGATTTGCGTGATTACATCCTCAGCACTTCTTCGAACCATCGTCATCTCCGATCAAGGTAGCGTGGCTTACTCTTGAATGGAGGACTACGATGACAATGAACCCACAAGAAGTACATCATCTTCAAATGTGGTTAAAAATGCCCGCCATCATGACTGCTTTCTTCGAAAATATAATGTGGTAAATCCAGTAGTGGATACACCTCATTTCTCTTCGAAGTTTGTTTTTCTCCAAAAAATAGAAATACCGACATGAAGATATTTGTCAACATTGCGATGTCTTGAATCCCAATTTTTTTTTAATATCGTTTTTCTAGACGTTTGCTTCAGCGTAGGGCCGCCACCTGCGGAAGCGGTAAGAGTAATTTTTGATAGAAAAATCTAAAACTACGTTCATCAGCCATTTTTTAATACACAGTCACAGTGATTACGATAATAATGATCATCAACATTGATTACGAGCCAAGACACGTTACAAAAATATGAATGGGAAAGCGTTCTTCATGCACTCCATTCCCATCACATCATGCGCAATATATTTATTAGGTCGATCAACAACTCATCAAGTTTTGAATCATGGACAAGTAAGACCATAATCTTCAACATCAACAACAAGTAGATCGACGTTCTTTTTCGTTACTTTGTATCTCCACGATATGAAGAGAACAAGCAAAGCTGTGCGTGAACGCAACCTCACCCGCCTTCCATGATCGAGAAGAAATCTTCATCTGCGAATAGTACATTCAAATCATCTACTTCCCAATCACATGACCATCATGCACCTTAGCTGATTTATTCCACAATAACTACTAGCTACAAAGACACTTATTTTTGACTCAGTTTTGACATTACAAATGCACCATCAATAAATCCTCATAAGCCCCCACTTCCACACGGCTTTGAAGATGAGCGACGTTTGACACCATCCACCTCCAGAAACCACCCCCTTACACGCCACTTCTTCAGAGTCGCTCCACAACTTTATCGTTCATGATAACCTGGAATGTCGTAAGTAGTTGTAAAGGATATGTAAACATCATGATAGGAATGAGTGCGTGAGAATGGTAATGGCTGGATTTTTTCAAAATGGATGCCACTTAAAAATAGTGTTATGCAAATGCATCTTTCTAGGTTGAGCTCGTAGTTACCAATTCATCTATTTCGTGTTTGAGATTTCGTGTGTAGCTGTAGGGGAACTTCGTCTCGGATCAGAGCATTCAGGAGAATCGTAGTAGTAAATCTTAAGCGAAACTAGGGAAATAATTCTGTACATTTTTGAACTTTCTTGTGATCTTCTCCACTTTTCGTTTTTTAATCACCTGCTTCGGCAATCGTCTTTTTTGCTTCAGCGGAACCGCAACGGATACATTAGAAACCGATCACGGAGGACGAGGACAACGTGGTAGTTACAACATTGCCATCATCATGCATTTTATAATAATGAGATATACCTGGGACTTTTCAAAGTCTATATTTCTAGACGGAGTGGAACTGTAGAGAAGACCACTAACGGAGTCTATTGCCGCTACAGCTGACGCATCCACTTCCTTGTGCCTTCTATGCATTTCATAATAGTTCTTTAAAATATGACAATGAAGAAGATAACACAATGACTGCGCCTGTGGTAGAGTTCTAATTAATAAGCAAAATCGTAACACTTGTGGAGCACGAGTCGGATCGACCGGAAGGGGCAGCATCATGGGATAGCAGTCCTCTTCTTTCGGATGCCAGTTTTTACATTTGCAGCCCTCTAGGCAGTGTCCCATTCTTAGCCATTTGCGGCAAACAATGCGTCCTGTTTCCTCCTCCATCTGTTCGACCGTCTTCCTGAGACCACGCTTCACACGCCGCTCCTCCTCCTAGTAGAAATAGTAGTTTACCCGATCATGGGGTATAGAAGAATTGAAATCAATTACTTAGCCTTTACATATTTATACATTGGCACGCTGCCGAAGAAGTTTTGTTGCCGGCAGCGTGCAAGTGTTGTAAACACTCCACCTGCTCCTGGTCATGAAAAACGAAGTAGAAGCTCGTCTCTAACGTCGGTGTGGATGTAGTTCAGAGCCTCTTCCTGACCATGAAAATAAACGAAGGAACACGAAGTAGAAGTTATTTCACGTTGGACAAGATGTTGGAGATAGATCAAGATCTCCTGAACTAGATTAGGTATAGGTGGAGGCTGAGGCAGGACGCTGGATGGTTATATCAAGAAAGAAACCAGTACCAGTCAGAGTCAAAGCTGGTTGGCTAATGCTAAGACTAAAAAGAAAATGAGAAATATGTAAGTGACACCTGAAAGGGAAAGCAGAGCCAAGAACTCAAATACAGATGAAAGAAAGTAGAAGTACCAACGAGAAGCAAATGCAATAAACGTCTAGAATGACAATACCGCGCGCGCTAGGCGGGGGTGTCCGAATTCCCTTCGCATGTGTTGCAAATAAGCTTGAGCATTGTCTTGCAAATCAGCTCGAGCATTGTCTTGCAATTCAGCTTCAGCATCGACATTGTTGAACGTGGCATCGTACAACACGTCTAAGAGCAACAACATCCGCGCAATCGGAGCCGCTGCTGCACCCAGATTCGTGAAAAAAGCATATATTAGACCCTACCGCTCTTACCTAACAAGTAAGTTCTAACGCTAAGAAGTATAGGTATATTTATGCCTTCTGAAAGAAAAGCGTCTTTGTTGACGTTTTTCTTTCAATCATCTGTCCCTCAGAGAAAAGTGGGACAAGGGACATATTTCCTGAGATGAAGTAGAAGTATACTCTTCTCTTCATTAAGCATCGTTGACCACGTGTTTTCCGGGACAAGAAAGAGGAAAATGTTTTCTGTGAGTTATTTTTTTTATTCACATTCTCATTCGTATTCTGTCTGTTTCTCTTGCGAGTCTTAAGGATAGCACTCCTCCAGTAACTAGCCACACAGCAGCTTCCTTGGCGCGCGAGCACGATTCCAGAGCCGGAGATACGAAATCGACCGCTATCACGTGGTGCAAAGAATAAAGTAAAAGCCGACGAGAGAAGTCCCGGAGCAAAGCCGACAAGAGAAGTCCCAGAGTTAGAGGCTACGAAAATTCATCCACGCATATTTGACACGTTTCTTTTTCAACTTTGCCAAATGCAGCGCTCAAATATGAAATGGAAAAAATGTCTGAAGTCCTCTTAAGAGAAGGAGTGCTGCGCGACGGTCGAGGATGCGGACAGTATCGTTAGAGCTAGAACGTTCTCGAGGGTTCACTGAACGCCGTTCAGGTTCAAGAAGGATAAAAGATAATTGTGGGTGATGAAGTGCATATAGGCACACCTAAATCTATAAGTATTGTCTTCCTCTCGATCGTACTCTAAATCAAAGTTCTTCATCCTGGGAGCGAAATGACTCTTGTTCACGTAGAAAAGATGTTTATTTGTTTGGACGTATGATGGATGTAGATGCTCTTAGAGATGTTGCCTTAACAAATGCGCGGACGGCGTTCATGTCGTCGGCCATGGTTGGTGGAACTTCTTTTGGCTTGCCGATTCGATTCAGATTTTTTAGTCGGTATGAAGATGATGATGGGTATAGCCTGTTGGCGCGATTTTTACAAGATAAGATTCTTAGATACAATAAAATACGATAATGCAGCTGTTCTCTGACTATGTTGAGTGGAAGGTTAATATTGAAAGGTGAATTCCCGGAGCTTGAGAGCAGTGCTCGTCTCTGTAACTGTATGTCGTCTCGTTTCCCTGAATATTTTTCGTTTATTCCTGTATTGGTTTTAATGTTGATAGTACCGCTACTAGCGCTAGGCCCGCCGGCCGCCGCCTAGGAATTAGTCATACAACTGTGATTGTGAGATTTTTTGTTTGGGTTTGTTTGTTCGCAGAAAAAGAGGTGCACTTCAGCAGACGTTCAAAGGTTTTCACTCAAGCACAGGTGAGAACCAGCACCATGAGCACCATCTAAATTTCGATTGAGAAAAGACTGAAGCTGCGTTAGCGCTCGTATCTGCCAACATCCTAGCCTACGCAAGTGCAAGAGAGTCAGTGATGATGTTGTGATTTCCAAATCCGAGTGGATTCCAATCCATAGTACTCTACAAAGAAATGACTTCCTTAGAACATCCGTCGTTTCTCCCCACGAGGTTGCCACTTCTGCCTTCGTCTGACTCTTCTCCTTCGCCCAGTGGCCTAAAAATTATGCAGCATGAAAGTGTTCTCAATCTTTCATGAAGGGACATCCAGAAAGAGCCCAGCACTTTCGAGCATTAGTCATCGGTCAGTGCTGTGAACGTCTACCGCAGGAAGAAATAAGAAGAAGCACGGGGCTCCTTAGTCTTGTGTTTATGTTAGGCTTTTTGTCTGGTTCTTGTCTTTCCGTTAACTATAAACACATCCACCAAACGAGTTTTTACTGAAATTTAGAACGTTAGAACAAAGGCGCCAAGCTTGTGTTTATCTTTCACTTTTCATCTGGTTCTTGTCATTCTGTTAACTATAAACACATCCACCAGACCAGTCCAATGTTCAGATTTTTGACCGCGGTCATTTTCAAGCTCTTTCTAGACCAAGAAGGTCTCGTCTCGTGTGCGAGTATAGATTACTCGAGAAAAGAACAGCTCCACAAACAATCGACATCGTGCTACCGGTAGCAGAAGGGGCATCAACCAAGTGACATCGAGTCAATAAATTCCAAGGCCTCGGTGAATAGTACTCACAAATATATTTATATATGTACCAGGGAGGGAGGCCCCCCCCCTGTGGATGGATCTGGGGTGGACCACGCCAGAGGGGTCCAGCCTGGCCACCTTTGCGCGGTCTGTATGGTTGGCCACATGCAGCACGCCAAGGGGGTGGGTCCCGCCTTGCCTCCTCTGCCAGCTCTGTCGGGTACCGCAACACGCCAGAGGGCGCCAGCATTGCCATCTTTGCCAGGTCTGTAGGGCACAGGCAACAAGGAAGCGGGGCCCTGCCTTTGCCCCCTTTGCCAGGCCTGTAGGGGACATGCAACAAGGCAGCGGGGCCCTGCCTTTGCCAGGCCTGTAGGGGACATGCAACAAGGCAGCGGGGCCCTGCCTTTGCCCCCTTTGCCAGGTCTGTAGGGTACATGCAACAAGCCAGCGGGGCCCTGCCTTTGCCTTTGCCAGGTCTGTAGGGTACATGCAACAAGCCAGCGGGGCCCTGCCTTTGCCTTTGCCAGGTCTGTAGGGTACATGCAACAAGGCAGCGGGGCCCTGCCTTTGCCCCCTTTGCCAGGCCTGTAGGGGACATGCAACAAGGCAGCGGGGCCCTGCCTTTGCCCCCTTTGCCTGGTCTGTCGGGTACATGCAACAAGCCAGCGGGGCCCTGCCTTTGCCCCCTTTGCCTTTGCCAGGTCTGTAGGGTACAGGCAACAAGGCGGGAAGGGGTCAGAAGTGGGCGCTTTGAGGCCTTCCCGCCCGGCAGCCCCTCGAAAAGAGGGGCCGGGGCTGGCAGGCCCCCCCCCCTTCAAAAAGTGAGATCGGGGGGCGTAGGGTCGAGAAAGGGGCCCCCTGGGCTTTACGGGATTCCTAGTCGTGTGGGCAGTTTGGTTTCGCTTCCTTACCATTTTGAAAATGTAAACGGAGGAGGCTCCAGCCTGCCTGTGTTAACTTCGCCTAATTTAACACGACAGCACAACTGTGACCGCAGTGAGCACATCCACAGGGACCACAGGAACCACAGGAACCACAGGAGCCACAGGAACCACAGGAACCACAAGAACCACAGGAGCCACAAGAACCACAGGAACCACAAGCACCACAGTAACCACAGGAGGCCCCAGCAGGAGCAAGACCCGCCTGGCGATCGCTTGGCCCCAGATCATATCCGCATTAGAAATCCCGTAAAGCCCAGGGGGGCCCATTCTCGAGCTTAAGGGGGGGGGGCCTCCGTAGGGTCGAGAAAGGGACCCCCTGGGCCTTACGGGATTTCTAGCCGTGTAGTCAGTTTGGTTCTGCTTCCTTACCATTTTGAAAATGTAAACGGAGGAGGCCCCAGCCTGTGTTAACTTCGCCTAATTTAGCACGACAGCACAACTATGACCGCAGTGAGCACATCCACAGGAACCACAGGGACCACAGGAACCGCAGGAACCACAGGCACCACCCGCACCACAGGAACCAAAGGAACCAGCGGAGCCACAGGAACCACAGGAACCACAGGGACCACAGGAACCACAGGAACCACCGGAGTCACAGGAACCACAGGAGGCCCCAGCAGGAGCAGGACCCGCCTGGCGATCGCTTGGCCCCAGATCATATCCGCACTAGGAATCCCGTAAAGCCGAGGGGGTCCCATTCTCGAGCTTAAGGGGGGCCTCCAGCCCTGAGCCCTGGAACATATATATCAATATTATGATTCCAATTCCTTCAAGTGTGTCTTTCGGGTAGGCGAGAAAAAAAAAATGAAGGCTCGCTAGAGAACTGGCCGAGGGAAGGACAGTAGTTCCTTGCGAACCACATCTGAAATAATGCGCATGCGGGACCTTCCTTGTGACCATGATCAAAGAAGTTGGATCGCAGGTCGTGGAAGTAGACCCTAACTTTTTCTTGCAGTTGTGATCTGTCTGACCTAGGAGATGTCCAGGATCTTAGGAGGTTGCATCAGTGCCGCTATCGCTGGAGGATCTCAAATACTAACTTTCTTATATGCATACAAATATCTTGCTCGTCATCCTTATATTATTATTAGATGCGTATGCAATTTTGAACACTCTGATAGTGATATTTACTGAAACCGATTTCGAACAAGATAAAGATTATCATTCTGGTGTCACCTATGCTAATCTTAATGCTTCACATGAGCATGGGATTGCAACATCATCGATACTTCCTGAGGCGTGTCCAGAGCTTCATGGCAGCAACAGGTCCATTATCATTGACTTTATCGTGGAAAGATAAAGAAGTTATTACTATTCATCATGAGGAAGGATTCATAGGGTTTTGAAAAAGGAGGAACATCAGCATTAAATGTTCATCATCGTTCGAAAAATAAAAGTTACAAAAAGTTCATGCGATTGCGATTTCCGTAGGAAAGATGAAGATCTTCGTCGGGTTGCAAATCATACGCGGAGTAACAAGCCTCTGCCGTCTTGTTACAAAAACTTTGACGTTCATACAAAGCTTGATGGTAGGAGAAAATCTGTTTCTTTACGGCACTAGATGAAGACATTGACATCTTCTGGCCTTCATTTTTACAACTATTGATGGAGCTGATGTTGTCCTCGCTTTCTACACCAGCTTCCGCTCTGCCTACGTCGCGCTCCCCACTGCTCTCCACCTTTTTCTTGGAAGTATTTTCACGGGACGAAGTTCTTCTGCTCCTGCTAAGGCTAACTACGCTTCTTATTTTTGATTCATCATGGTCATCATCTTGATCAGCTTCATGGCCATCATCATGACCAGCGTCGTCTTCGTTCTTGCTCCGTTCAAAGACCAAGGGTTGCAGTGGAGGTCCTCGAGCCGCCTGCCAGAGGATTGCATCCGCATAGCCCGGAGATGAAGGATCATCTGTGTTTACCATGGAGAGCATAACCACTCTATCGGGTAACTTCCCAAACCGCGGATGACGTGCATGCAGTTCCCCAGTATGCCCCGCCGAGTCCGGCATCGACGCGTGGTGCACACAGCTATAGCTTAAGACTTTCCGCACTAGCATCATTGCGAGCAGTCAATGAGAGAGAGGCGAAGGGTCGAACAAGGCGTTGGTCGTGTATTCCTACTGATCAAGGACTCGTCACACTGACTTCTATGAACAAAAATATGGGATTATTAAGTACAAGTAGAAGTAGTTGTCCGACCAGTCGTACGTCGAGCAATCAGTTGTGCTGGTGAGCCTAGGATCATCTGAATCATGAAAGTAGATACAAATAACTCCTTCTTCAACACCGTCTCGTCTTGAAGGTCAATTCAAATTTATGTCGTCTATCGCAGAAAAACCAAAAGTCTATCGTGTTTAGGTACTTCGTTTTATCACCCAAGGAGTACCTATGCATTCCACATACGAAGTCCAAGTGAAATTACTTGCCATACATGACTGACGTGCCGCCTCGAAGGGCACTCTGCATGTTACCCAGCGAGCAGGGAACGCCAGAGTTCTTATCGCAGCAAGGACGCTCATCAGTTTCGTCGCAATGTTTCATAAAAAACGTAGCATCTTTCCCTCCGAAGGCGCCCACCTTGTGATTTTGTTGAATGAGAAATTTCAGTACTAATATTATTTCAACTTATATTTTGTTTTAGTTCTCATGAGTGAGAGTGAAGGTAGAACAAGCTATGCGTTTGGCGATGCAGTATCTAGTCCTGGCTGATGTAGAAGTAATTGAAGTTTTTGAACTACAAGTGGTACAAATAATGTTCATGTTGTTTTTTATCGAATGTTTTGAAAGTTGTTACTGTATGTAGTGGTGGTAGAACGTTGTTCAATCTCGATCTATGTTTTTCTTTGATGTTGATCGTCATCAAGAAGATCATCAAAAACAAAGTGAAAGGGAGAGTCAAAGTGGTCCTAAAAACTTCTCACGAATACCACTTCTAACAGCATCATGAGCGCCAGTGCTCTTTTCAGCCACGTTTTCAACCTGTCCATTGAGGTGGATTGCGTTTTGATCAATACCGCATACGGATCTAGTCGCTTGCACATGTAACTCTTCATTTTCTCGAACATGTCTGCGGGCTTCCCGAGAACAGCCGTGGCTGCTTCGCACTGTGCCCTTGCCCCCGAGCCGCCAGCAGGAGGAACGCAACATTGCATCCACAAGTTGCTGCTTGGTAGCCAGTACCAGACACGCTTGCCGCAAAAAGGACTCATGATCTTCAAATTTGAGACCATCTCTTTCTTCTGAAAGGCGTCACGATATCTGGTGCATTCTTCACTATGCCCTCCTACCGCATCGTCGTCGACCACTCGAAAATCCACTCCGGCAGGCTCCTCAGCCGTGCAGTCGAGGAAGAAGGCGGTTGCGCGTCGTGGTCCTCGAAATGGATATCGATTATGAAACCGCGACCGATAATGGTTCCTTTTCCCGCGTCCGACTAGGCGAGGCGGTTCGAGATCGAGTTCGAACGTCACGTGATTTTCATAGCCTTTCACCGCGTGGTGCAAATCGCCTGCCGGAATGTAACTTGTCGGGGAGACTCGATGTCGTCGTGAAATGTGGTTCCTTATCCTTGTCCTCGTGCCAGCACCGCCTGTCCCTGTCACAAGAGCACCATGGTCGTAATCAAAAACAGCTTCTACTTCATGGTCGCCACCGCCGATCGCGTGCCCTTGGATAAGGCGGGTCCAAAGAAGATCAGGTGTCATTTCTTCAGGCTTTGTCCGCAAATCATCATGATATCACAACTGTTCTCATCGACTTTAGCGATCACAAACAATGTAGTTGGAACCCGGGTCTCGGTTACGCTACGAACTTAGATTTTTACATGTAGATGTCTTCATTGAGTCCAAAAAATGATCAGCAATCTGTAGCACGTATGCACACATGGCAAAAATTCAAAGCAAGGGGAATTGAGGTCGTGGACACGATGTGAATGGTACGAGGAACATGAGCATATCACACTCCGAGTGAACAGAATCTGGCCCTGAGCAGTGAGCCTCTATACGATAACGACGAACTACAACAGCCCCGATCTCTTCTTCAACCATCACTCAGAACTACAACAGCCCCGAGTCACCATCACTCAGAACCGATCTCTTCTTCAAACAGATTCACTCTGAGCCTTGACTACCTGGTGCAATGAGACTGAGAGAAGGAGTTCTACGTCTACTCGATGTCCACCTTCTTCACCTTCAAATGCTGCTTGAGCGATAAGCAGCTAAGTCGAACAAGTAGAAGGAAGACTGCAGCACCCGAAAGTGAAGCGGTAGTTCTAAAGCAAAAGCAGGCATTGAAATTGATGATCATGATGGTCGCAGTTTTAAGAAGAACTGCAGCAAACAAACTTATTGTTATATATTGACATGATCTTGATATAATTACTCATCTGACTTTTCTAGTTATTTTTGCGCGATAAGAGACGATCCTCCACCTCCATCTCTAGTGCATCATTGTTCCCACGGGTTATTATCGTTATCGTCATCCATGGCAATGACTGCGGCAGAACTTTTGCAGAAGTCACCCCATCCGTCCTTAATATGTTCATCGTGTTGTTGTCACCTTTCGGCTTTCAACATCACATATTTGCAGCAACAATAGATACCTTCATCATACACGACTTACACATTATAGTTCCTAGTCCTACTCCTGATGGAAATGGAAACATAACTGGTGGAACTACTGACTGTAATCAAACAATCACAGCAAGCAAAAAAAAACTGAAATAGACAACTTCTAAGCGTAAGAAACTCTGACTCCCGTTTCTTTATCACTAAGAATATCATGTTGAATTTGGAAGCAAAGAAACTTAAACTTATAGCCTGACAAGTGCGCCAAGGTTAATCTCTCTGTTGGGCAACAAAAAGATAAGTATGAGAGGTGAATTAAGCAAAAAAAGGCTTCAATCGTAATGAACAATTTGTTTCTGCTTATGCCTGACCGCATAGTAGAAGTGGATGAAGTTTTCATGAGCTGCACCCGTCTTCGAGCATCGTCGCTGAAGAAGAAAACGTGACTCCTTCTCAACATAAGAATTCTTATGCAATAAACATACTGCAACGGCGGGACAAGCTGCCGATTTCGCACCACGACCTTATCCTATAATTCCTATGCTAACAGAAATTTGGCAGATAACAATGTACTTCTTATGTGAATATGACGGGGATGGATCACAACCTCTTTCAGGAACGAGGCAGACCTAGTACTAGAAGATTCTTACTCAAATAACAAATAATACATAGATTGATATAATCCGAATTCCAAAATATCTTCCAAATGGGTCCACGTCCAAAAAAATGGCACCTCAGTCTGTCTCTGTCTTCAAACGGTTAAGATTAAGTTAGTATGTTGTAAATAAAAGGGATAGCACCAGGTGGAGCATAAATTTTGCAACTAATGATCAACAACATCAAGGTTCGGTGGTAAAAGTAAATAACCATAACTAATAACTCCATTAGAATTTGTCGCCGGGAGGACGGGGTCCCCCCATCAGTTTCTTCGTCCAAGTCTGGTAAATTTCGCGCTCCCGTTCTTGGCTAACCGGCTCAAAATTAGAAGACTCAAACAAAAAGTGTAGAAAGCTCTTGGCTAACCGGCTCGAAATTAGAAGAAGACTCAAACAAGTACAAAAATTCCTTCTTGGCTAACCGGCTCGAAATTAGAAGAAGACTCAAACAAAAAGTGTAGAAAGCTCTTGGCTAACCGGCTCGAAATTAGAAGAAGACTCAAACATGTGTAGTAGATAGTCGTAATTATAGATACATATGAACTCATAACATCTACATCATGTTTATAGAAGCTGTAGATTTTTGTAGTTGCCGGACGATGGAGAACAGCACTGAGATGTTAAAATCAAGAGGATAAGGACCTCATATTCAAATTATTCATAGTTTATTTTCCTATCTAAGTACGACTATCAGTATGTAGTTCCGAAAAATGTTGTAGTTGTATTTGTCACCAGATAACGGATCGGGGTACTTCTACCATAAGGAGCTCGACGAATCAGGCCATACCCATGGGTTCATCGAGCGCTGACCGCAGATTTTCGTTATGCGCCACTGCACTGACAGCTGCAGCAGCTTTCGGATTCGCCACAGTGGTTTGGGCACATAATATGAAGAAGGGGGAGCAAGTGTCGTGATGAGTGTGGGTAGTATGCGAGTGGGTAAGTAAGTCCATGAATGTTCTTGATGAAGCCGACCACTTTTTATGTCATAAGTCGACTTATTCATAAGCCGACTTTGTGACCAGTGTCGTGGCGGGATAAACTGAAGCGCTTCATCTACTTGATTAAAAACGTCACAGCCTAAATACCCCTTCAGCAAGTGATGTTTGATTTAGGAACAGAAGTACGTAGATCTAGAATCTCTCGAGATTGCAACAACGAAGATTTATAACTGCTCTTTCATAACAGAGGACGCGCCACCTGTAGCAGCGGAACCAGCTGCTCCGGCTTTGGCTTTAGCCGCTGCTGCAGTCTTCTCTCCCGTAGCTCCCTGGCTTGGGGGCGCTCGGCCTAGTTGCGAGAGGTACTCGGTCGCCTCTGTTCCTCCTAGAAGGTTCTCCTGCAGTTATGAAGAGATGAGACAGAGACAAAACAACTCAACTACTAGTTTCTTATTCCTTCTCAGAGATGAGACAGAGACAAAACAACTCAACTACTAGTTTCTTATTCATTCTCAGAGATGAGACAGAGACAAAACAACTCAACTACTAGTTTCTTATTCTTTCTCAGAGATGAGACAGACACAGAGACAAAACGACTCAACTACTAGTTTCTAGAGACAAAACTCAACTACTACAGTGTCTATCATAACATTCGATTGATTTGCATTTCCTGAGGTGGGACGCCGAGTCTGATGCTCATCAGCACCTCGTCGCTTACTGCTTGTGCTGGGTTCAACCCTGGTGGCAGGACGGATGGTAATACACCGATCGAGCATATCTTAGAGGTCACAGTCGGTCGTCATGCTCATCCTCCATCTTGGGATTCACATTCATCTAGGATCTGTTTTCCATCTATCTTGGGATTCACATTCATCTAGGGTAAGGCTGTTTTGGTTTTCTCCTTACGAGAAGACAGCTTTGAGATGGTTCTGATTCAACAAGTTGAACCGAATACTTTTACTTTTGATTCGCTGTCGTGGTCAGAAGTTCTGAGGATGGATTACCTTAGGAAAACATCATCAAGTCTTAACTATCACGCCAGGCTGAACGCCTAGTACTCTAGGAGGCGCTTTGAAGTAGTCCTCCGCGTTGGCTTTTGGTGTTAAAACCTTCATTTTCCGTTTTGGTGTGGGCATACGCGCACTGACACCGCCATAGCGTTCTTGACAAAATCGCTCGTCCCGCATCACTGCCTGCAGAAACTTGTGCGCACGGACGTTTTCGAGGGACAACCTGAGAGGAAAATAACGTGTGAACAAGAAAGCTTCAGTTTATAGCTTCGTTGTACTTGGTTTTTAGGGGTCGTGAGATGAAGGTCTGATGATGAAGGCGATAGATCATATGGCGAACCTACTGTACACGCAGGATGGAGTTATTTCCACTCTTGCTGCTCTTCTGAGAACATCAAAACTCTTCCTTAATCATATGCGTCCTACGGTAGAGAGTACCGTTTCTTTGGGTCCTTCTCGAGCATCGAATTGATGAGGTCTTTTGCATCCTTGCTGATATCCGGCATAAACTCCGGTGGCCTGTACTTGATTTTCCTGTAGGTCTCCTGTGCGTCCCTAGACTCAAAGGGTGCTCTGCCATTGATAAACTCGTATAGCAATATACCCAGTGCCCATGTATCTATGTCCTTGGTGTAACTCGTCTCGTTTACCTTTATGAGCGATGTATTGCCAACATTGATCGTGGGGGAGGGAATAGGGGGAAGGGGTCCATGAGCCACACACGCTCCAGAAGAGCGCAAACCGCCTCCAACAAGGAACAACTTCTCCAATAACTCGAGCAACCCGAAACAGATCCTTATCGGAGTACTCTATTATGATGTCGGAGCAGAGTTGAGTGTAGAAGAGCTCAGTAGTCTCAGTTGGAACCTCATTAAGGAGCCAATAACGCAACCTCAAGGTAATCTCTAAGAACCATTTCTGGTGGAAGGTAATCGAGTGTGCCGCAGAAGGTCGTGCGCTTTTGGTGTGGTGCGCCAAGGTGCACTGACCAGCCGAAATCACTCATTTTGATTAGAGATGGGACACATTACCATGCATTAGGACAAGTGGTTGCAGATGAGTCATCAAGGAGCGATATTTTTGTACTAGATTTCGATTCGCGTTCATACTGAAGAGAGCTGACACAAGAAGTCTGTATCATGCAACTCTAACTCTATCTCTAATTATCTCTTGCTCTTTTAGTAAAAAGAAGTCTGTTACAGTTACTGTCGAGTTGTAGAAGGTGTCCATCATCTCCGTAACTTCAATGTATCTCGAAGACCGAGTAATATATTTTCGGGCTTGATGTCGCGATGTATGACGTTTTTCTCATGGATGTACTTTATCGCGTGCACCATCTGACTCAAATACCAAGCGGCGCGAGCTTCACTAAAACGACCTGTAGAGGTGAGTAATTTCAGACGAGTGAATGAATGTACCGACGACTCCAGGGGTACAGAAGACTACTACACTACTACTTCTTCTTGCATTTTGCCTCGTGAGCTCGCATGAACTCAACCCTTTTTGCTCGTTTATTACTTCTCAGAAAGTTTCAGGCCTCTGAGTAGATTTTTTCAGCATGCATTCTTGATACTATGATGATGATGAAATAGAAATACTTATTACACCAGCACACTGGCACTAGTCAAAAAATACCGCGCTTTTGGAGCAGGTCAAAGAGTTCGCCACCAGGTGCAAGCTCAAGTATGAGGTATATTCGTTTGCTATCGTGAAACCAGTTGTACCTGTCGTTTTTCGGAGTGAATTCAAATTCATTATTCACTTTCTGTTTCGCAGGGATCAGCACACATCATGAGGTTGCCCCTCCATCACTCCGCCACTTCAAACTGGTACCAGAAAATGCATATCATTTGAAACAAAATCGTAATCTACTTCGTCATAGTACTGGTATTGCTAGCAAGAAATAGGATAAGAAAAAAACAACACAAACCTTGTTGTACATTCTCAAGATGTTTGGATGTCGTAGATGCGATTGGATTTCGATTTCTCGCTGCAACTGCTTTTCGACGCAGTGTTTTATAAGCTGCTTCTTTTGTAACACCTTCAGCGCGCAGACGTATCTGAAGTACGAAGGAGGAGTGAGAGTAGTAAGAAAATGCTGTTGTGTGAAGCTTCATCACTCGTCAATTTTGATTGAAAACTGAACTACAAATCCTCAAATTTATTTTTAGTTTCATCAGATTCGGAAGATTATAGACAAAGAGATGGTACTGTGAGAATCTTTCTCTTGCCACGTAGATGGATCCAAACTTGCCTCGCCCAAGATGCTTCCCTATCTCAAAATCGTTGATCTCGAAGACCTGGTGCGGCACAAAACTCGTTGCGAGGTCTGCCGGAGTCAGGAGAGCGTCGAAACGGAAATTAGAGCGACTCCTGAGCTCCTAAAACGAATCCTATACCTATTTATTAATTTCGATATAGTTTTACTTATGTTCTTTGGTGCTAGAAGTAGAAGGAGGATGAAGCTGCAGGTTTAGGCATTCTGAAGTCGAAGAATTGCGAAGATTTAACCTCCGACTCGGTTAGAAGTGATAGTGTCACTCTGAAGAACCTCAAGACCACTCTTGGAGGAAAAAATAAGGTATTATACGTAGAAAATAAAACATGGAAATCAAAACTAAAAGACAGCCTTAACATCGGGTGACGCTGCCCGATTGAGGCCGCTTGGAGACGCTATTTTTCGCCGTTTCATGGCGCTGTCAGGTTCAGTTTCGTCGTTGGCGGACATCTTCAGGTGTTTTCGTCCTTGTTCTGTATCCCACTCGAAGCCGTCCATACGCTGTCTTCCTTCTGGTCGTTTCTTTCCTTCGACAAGGTGCCCTGCGAAAACCTGGATTGGTCACTCGGTAGACAAGAACAACGGTCGTACTCTACCACGGCAATCCCTTCCTTGAGGCGAGGTCGAACGCTGACAAGGGCGACGGTGCCCTACAATCAGAACAACCTTGTTTTTAGCTTTCGCAGAAGGCGGGCGTTCTTTTTCTTGGCCTCTCTCTGGCGCCTTTCTTCTTCACTCCCCTTACTAAAGCGATCGCGCTGAAGTCATCATTGTGTGGTCACGCTAGAAGTTATATCGTAGACTACAACGATGCTCTCGTTTCTTGTTCTAGTAGAGGTGTTCATCGAACTTATTCCAACAGCAGAGGAAGCCCAGTTGCAATGCACTCGACTGAAAACAAGACAGCTACCGTCACAAGCAGCATTTCTAACTACTTCACTGAAAACAAGACAGCATTTCCAACTTTACTTCCACCTCCTAGGTACTTGCACCTCCCCGCAGGACACCCACTCGTAGTAAGTACATGATTGTCTTGTATTTTTTCAGCTTATTATACTTAAGATCAAATCTATGGTTCTTCTTGCCAATGATCTCAATTCCTAATAAATGCAACTGCAAATGATCACTAGTCGTAATTCAATCGAATGAAAATAATGATCATGATGATTGTGTTTGTGAAAATTAGAAGTGCTTTTCATCTTGAACCAACTGAAGGAGTCGTCCTCCGATCATCAAATAGTCCACATGGAAACGAGAAGATGTCCCTGACCCGTCCCAGTGCGTAATAATAAATTGTGGCCAAATATTAACAACTAAGCAAAAAAGTACAAGTACAGTAGGGAATCTCCTTTTTGGCATATTACTTTCATTGGTCTAGTCTCTGCTGCTACAGCTACTGTCGTTTTGGACCCAAGCATTGAGGTATTTGAAAGTGACATTGGGCATTGACGTCTCTTTTCATAGCTACACAGAAATATTTTTTGGACCGATCGATTTTATTGATCGTCTATTCGAACAACAATGACATGCTGCATTCATGCCACACATTGAGAGCATTGGAGCTGTTTCCTTGGTTGGCTTTGCCACAGTATCATCGTATAATTGCGTCACTGAGACTGAATTGCTCGGCGAAAGGAGATACGAAATGCTAAGATCATGACGGGTCGAAAACCCTCCCGCAACCCTGAGTGCTCCCTATTGTGAGCCCTATTCCAGTTTAGGCGGCTGACAGCATTTGGAGAGGGATACCCTCTCCTGATTTCTTCAGCAAAAGAGTGAACGTCACGACAAGGAATACCGATAGTGCACCTTCGCAACACGTGAGCCTCATAAAGTGGCATGCTTGGGCTCGTGCTCATCCAAGTGAAGTGTGGTAGCATTTGTTCTTCTTGCACAGGAGAGATTCTGCGATATCGCCGTACTGCTTACGCCATGGGTGGAAAGGTGCAAGGTGATACGTGTCAGCCTCAAGAGATCGGCCGCGTCGTCGGAAATTTTTAGGCCGTGCAGGGTCGTATTAACCGTAACGGTTATAGAGACTATGTCGTGACTATGTATAGATAGTATCTGATACGTATACACCGGTTCCGTAGCGCTAGATCTGTATTCTCGTCGTAGCGCTGGTACTGCATTCTCGTCGTAGCGCTGGTACTGCATTCTCGTCGTAATCGTAAAGCAGCGTAAAAAGGAGGTACAACAACAACTCGTACGCGTACTGTGCCAACTGATAATTGATTCACTAGCACTATGCCAAAGCGAAGTCGGCTCCAAACATCTCAAGGGCTATGCGATCCTTATTTGCTGCCGACGAAACGTCGTGTATGCGTTGTTGGAATCGCTGAAACATGGTAAGCAGCGTATCCAAATTTTCACTATGACTCGCATATCCTTCAAAGTCCTCCATCGGATCTGGCTCAGGAAAATAGTAGTATGGTCCCTTGGAATGGTATGAAGAGAAAGGCTGGAAAAAGAGAGAGGCTACACTTTCTCCGAGAGAAGAGGAGTGCTTTACCTATATTGTTCCTGCTAAACTCACTTACAACACGTAACAATCAAAGGAGCTGGAGTGCATGTGCAAGGTTTGTATTCATAACTTGGGAAATGTCGTCCCGTCTGGGAGGACGATCGGGGCGTCCTCGATACGACGAAATCCTAAGGCGAAAAGCAACTGGCGATGCGCGATGCTGGTACCAAAGTCACGCATGAAATCGTTCTTCTTAGAGCGTGCGCTCAGTAGTTGTAGTATTGCAGGAATGATCTATAACCTGGTCGTGTCATCCTTTTCGTCGTCCTATGTTGAACTTGAATGTCCATCATGTCGTCGCAGTACAACAACAAGATGAATTTAAATTCTGATCGACATTCTGATTATACTTAGCTTAGTATTATAAGTTACCATTACCAATGCAGCCAGTATTTCGATTTCTCAACATAAGATTTTCTAGGCGCAATACATTCGCGTGCTGCTCTGGATGACGAGCGAGAGCCTCAACAATCCTGAACATTTGCGGGAAGCATTTTTCTTTGAAGGTTACCAAAGAGTGAGCGCGAAGCATTTGACGTATCGCGTCGTTGAGCAGCCCACTAGCTGCGTTTTTCCTCTCTGCTCCTGCGGACTCGGACATCAAGTTTGTTGACTGAACTACTATGCCAGTAGACTGCGCTGTGTCAGAAGTGTCCGCCTGAGCTATTCCAAGGCGTTGCAGCCACGTTTGTTCTCGAGCAATCATTTGGTCATGGTCGAATTGAGCAGCTTCCGCGATGGCTTCGGCATGCTCTTCAACCGCGCGTTTTTGTTCAAGAGCCATCGCAGCTTCGCGTTTGCGCTGCTGCTCTTGCTGTGCTTGTAGCTTGCTTTCCTCCGCATGAATTGCCGCTCGCGCTGCTTGGTTCGCATTTTCCTCCTCCAGACGCCTTCGTTTTGCTTCTTCCGCTGCCTGCCGTCTCCGCAAAGCCTCCTCAGGATTCTCCACACTTTCCAGAATGTAGAAAGCTAGAGCTCTCCTGCGAGAAGACGGTGAAGATGGAGCTCCATGATCAGAGCAGATGAGCAGCGCCGTTAAGCTTTTGCGCAGAATATCGAAGGATTCGCATAAAGCCAGCACCTTCTGACTCATATTTGCGCCATAGGTGGCCAGAGGAAGGAGCCTTGAATACTCTTCCCATGAGCTGTTTTCGATACGCCGCTTCCTCTGTGGAGGAGGGTTCTCTGTGGATGGAGGTCCTGAAGAAGTTCTCGGAGAAGGTGCGGATGATCCGTGTTGCGTGAAATTGTTCGCAAGGTCATCGTCATGCTCTGAAGGAGCCATAGTTGTTGAAGAGGCTGCAGCAGCCATAGTTGTTGCACTTGCATCATGATTTTCACCTGCACCTGCTGCTACTTCTCCTACATCTTCATTTTGCTGCTCTTCCCATCGTTGCTCGAACGCCGACTCCTTCGTTTCGTTATACTCTGCCAGTATCTCACTCAATCGAATGCGCGCTTCAGCACGAGCGCGCATCCCACTCCAGTCTATGTCGCGGAAAAGCACTCTCAAATCCGCTTTCCGCGTCTCAACATCGTCCAGCATCAAAGAAGATGGAAGATCTAGCCCTGCAGCAACTGGTCCATCAGACTTAGCCTGCTGTAGTATAAAAGGCTCCAGCAGTGCCTTTGCCCGCCTGAAGTCGGACGTCTTTGTCACCTCAGCAGACGAAGACATTGTTTAGTTGACCACCCTTCTTTGTCTTCTCTTCCTAACAACTACCAAGAAGTCTAAATAGAACGGGAAGAGTCACGACGACCTAAGATGGACTAGATGAAGACCAACGATGTTCTATCTTTCTAAGAACAATAACATGCATGAAGCAAAAATCTCTCGTCAATTATCTGGTCACGGGACGTGAAGATCAGAAGACAAGGATGGATCACACGTGCTGGCAGATCACACATTCGCGTGACCACCATACTTGATACTCATTCAGGAAGCAAAGCGCGGTAGCCCGAGTCTTGCGGGCTACTTCTATGTCTCGTGCGTGTGACGGTCGTACTCGTCAACTAAAAGAGGAACACGACGATCATGATCATCTGAGTTTTGCTTTGTTCTCATTGTTGCATATTCATCGCGTCCTCGTCGCAGTCCTCGTTCCTATTGTAGTTTATCTTCGTCTTCTCAGTATGTAGAACGAGATTAAATTCAAATTCATACACCAACTTGTAATTCTATGATCTGGCCTCCACACAAAATTATCAGTATTTTGAACATCAACATATCTGATCGGTCTTGTAATCATTTTTTTTTGTGTGTCAGTCAGAAGTGTCTGCGGGCGTGTAAATAATTTTGCAGAAGCACTAGTAAGTCGTATATGCTGCGTTGCGGCTGAGTGATCGTGTACGACAGATTCGGACTTCCACAAAAAACAAATGAAATCCAAATGGATGAAGCTACGAGCCAAGATTCTAAGACGGGTCTCGTTGCGTACTGGTACAAGTCTTTTTTCTGTTGGCGAGGGCAAAGTAGTGGAGTGACGAAGTAAGTTTTGATGTAGTTTTTGTTGGTAAACAAAATGACTGTACAATCTTTCAGTCAACTAATTTCAAGTTGTCAGGAAGAGGAAGCATGACCAGCAGGTGGTCGATAGGACTCTATTCTTGCTTCTGTATTCATATTCTGCAGCACCCTCGCGTCTTCCATTGTCCTGATCCTAGTCCTATAATCCTTGTGGTTCCTCATATTTACACTTCAGGATTACAAGCTTTGCGAAGGCTCGACGCACCAGCTCAGGTGGCGCAGAGAAAGCATACATTTCGCGGACGCAAAGACAAAAAGAAATCAGTGGCGATAGAGTCTACAAATAGAGACTAATTAATTGCCAGACTTGGGAAACCATTTAAACCACTAAGACAAACTTCCAGATGCTTATACGACAGCACAAAGTTTAGCAGACAGTTGGGAACAAGAACGCAAACGCTAAGCGTGAGAGTCAAGTTACTTACGTTGGTAGAAGTTGCGAAAACAAGATGCAAAATAACAATTTTGTTCTACTTGAGGCAACTTAGTAAACTTTATCTGACAAGATGCAAAATAATTCGGCACAGACCTGTAGCACGAGATAGAAGTTTTAGCTTAAGACCACAGTAAGGGCTCATGGATTTTTTATAAAATTGGGGACTAGAAGGAAGTTCTCAACCTCTTCTTCAGTTCATCTCGATGTGGGCGCTAAAAGTAAAGAGCAGGAAAATGCAAAGCTAAAATCATTTTCATTTTGTTTGTTAGAATCAAAGCGTAAACGTATCATGATGGTCTAATGGACACAAGTATGATGAACTACTGCTTTCATTTCCGAGAGACGCCGAGCAAAGTTGTCCCATGCTCCTCATCAACTGCATGGCGAGAGGTTTGCCTTAGCTTCGTGCAGGTGGAGCGAAGAGAAGTGCAGCATCTTGTCCGTCAACTACAAATTTTAGACCAAGCCAGTTCATCTCCCTATTGACCTAGATGACCTACTTATTGTTACTAGGTACACCTTAGTACGATTGAGATGCGCTAAAGAGTACAAAGAAACGTATTGGAGCAGTTTAATATAATAAATAGAGCAGTTTATAAGGGTCCCAGGTCTGGAATGGCATGGATCGAATGGCACGAATGGCGGGGGCGCAATCCGTGACCGCGATCGACCTCGCCATTCGTCCCATTCGTGGACCAAATAGACCTTCGAGAGCGGGGCGCCCTTCGGGCGCCCTGCGTTCCGACGCGTTGCTCTCCCCACTGGGTTGCCACTTCCTGCTCGATGCTCTACGCCGACCGCCAAGAACCGCGCGGGCGCGGGGCGCCCTTCGGGCGCCACGCCCTGCACTCAGCCAAACGCACATCCCTCACACAGTTCCACTAGGTGCCAAGGCTGCCCCCCCGCTACGGGCGGGGCGCCATGCTTCGGCGCCACCTCTTCCCTTCTTCGTCGTCACGATATGGCTTCTCTCATGGGCGGAATCACTTGCATGCGACCGACATGGACATACTCGGTAAGCGAATGAGACCAGGGGCGCCAGCTGGCGGAACCCTGTCAACCTGTGCCATTCGTGCCATTCGTGACACATTTGGGGTCTGTTGGGGTGTGCCATTCATGCCATTCGTCCCATGCGCCATTCGTGCTATAGCCTGTCCTATTATAAGGGTCCCAGATCTGGGATGGCATGGATCGAATGGATGGCACGAATGGCACGGATGGGGGGGCGCAATCCGTGACCGCGATCGACCTCGCCATTCGTCGCATTCGTGGACCAAATAGCCCTTCGAGAACGGGGCGCCCTTCGGGCGCCCTGCGTTCCGATGCGTTGCCTCCCCCACTAGGTTGCCACCCCCTGCTCGATGCTCCACGCTGACCGCCAAGAACCTCGCGGGCGCGGGGCGCCCTTCGGGCGCCAAGCCCTGCACTCAGCTAAACGCACATCTCTCACAAAGTTCCACTAGATACCAAGGCCGCCTTCCCTGCACGGGCGAGGTGCCCTTCGGGCGCCATGCTTCGGCGCCACCTCTTCCCTTCCTCGTAGTCACGGCTACCGCAAGGCATGCGGCTACGCCTTTTTTCACGCTGGACCCCGATGCCGCTCCGGTGGTCTCGTAGCACTCTTTTCCAGGAGTTCCGTGGTGGTACCACAATGGCGCTGAAGAGGAGGATGCTGGCCACTCTGTCTTGGTAGTTGTAGTTCTTGTTCTAGTTAGGTTAGGTTAGGTTGTGGTCCGCGAGGTGCGCCTGCGGATATCGTTGGTTTCAGAAGAACCAATAAAAATCTATTTCTTGCTGTAGACCTAGGACCGATTATCGCCTCTGAAGGACGATGTGCTTCCTTTTGAACTTTAGCTATACTTTATTCATTGATCTTCATTTCTTGTCTATGTATTATGATTTGTTAGATCATTTATTCATTTAATTCCTTCGACTTAGACCTGGGGTAGAAACTCAAACAACCCACAACGACTACGGACCCTATCCGCTCTAATTCTCCTCTCTCATTTCTTCGGTATTCCTTCGTTGTGCGCTGCCTTCGTCTCGATGCGGCTCCATGACCTCGCTATTCAGTATCTATGTTAATACTTCGACCCGCCCTCGTCGAATTCTCACTTACTCAATTACTGGCAATTTCTTGTACACAGCACTTGTTAGTTCTCGCAACTTTAGACCGAGCAGTGTAAGAAGGATAAAGCCGAGGCACGAACACATATTACCAAACCACGAAACACCTAGGAAGCGGACACGCTACGCAAAGCCGAGGAAAAAGCCACGATCGTATCAACCACTCAAACACGTCACGTACCGGCCACATATGTGAAGTCGCATTTTTTTGTTCTTTTTAGCTTTCTTATGGGCGGTCTTAAATGCTTTGCTTTTGTTCGGTTTTTCGAGTATCAATCACGCCCTTCTTCGGAGGTGCAATTTCTGTCGGTGCCGGCTGTCCCATAAGACGCACCCATATGTTTGCCTCGTATGTCGAAACGTAAGCTGCTAGCGCTTCACCAAGACCAACTCCCACCAGAGCGCGAATTCCCGGCACCACCAGCTTCGCCCGCTGTAACAATCTGTGACTTCTTGTCAGTTTCGCAAGGTACGCACTATGCCGACAAGCTGCAACGTCGGGAAAGTCCGATCTATATTTCGCGTGCCATTCCGGCCACGACAGACGCGCTTTCCCAGTAATCGTCTCGCGACGCCAAACGCCTTTGCCGCGTCTGAAGTCGTGCAACGACATGATTTCATCATATCCCGAAGCCTTCCACGCAGCCCAGCCATGTTCTGCGCCTTGCAGGTGTGCCTCATCGAGCCACGCCCTGTAGTCGTTGATGGAGATCGCGTGCCGTTTGTGCGTTGCCATTTTGGCGATCTCCGACCCATCGCTCTCTGAATCAAACACGAGTCTGCGGCGGCGCATCAGTCTCCTCTTCTTCTTCACCGACATGACGCTGGCCGCAGGAAGGGCAAGACCATCCATCTTGAGTTGCAGCTTCTTGCTGATGTATGGGGATGCACAGCCTTCAAAAAGCTCGCTTCTCCTTCCGCGAATCTTCAATATCCTGCGCCAATTGATTCTCAGTGGTGCAAGCTGCATTCGGAAGCCCTTCCAGATCCTTCTCCTCTCCTTCTTGCGTCTCCGGAGACGAGGAGTTTTCTTTACTTCCACCTCCGCCGCCTCTTTATCATCCATCTTTCACTTATGCTATTTCTCTACCAACGTTTAGTCTCGTAACTTCTGCAAGTTCTTTTTCTACGACTTAGTGCCAACGCAGAGCCACACACTGCCCAGGAACCTGAGTAACTGCGTGCGCGCAGTCGTGCGAGGCTGACCACTCACTTCTATTTCTACACCCGATGCCTTTACGACTTTTAGACGACACTACACGTTCTTCGTATCCCCAGATACACATACATAAAACGAAGAGTAAAAAGAAACTAAATGCTGAACAAGGACTCAGACACTAACTGTCAAAGTTTATCGCCCGAGGCACATAGCCCGCGCGCAAGAGTTGCCTGTTCTAGTGGAAGGCCCCAGTTGAGCGGTTGCAAACTATCGTGTTAGCAGGCCTAAGCCACCACCTCTTCTGTTTTCTGGACTACTCGAAGTTCTCTATCTTTCACTTCATTTACATGTTATATTTAGCAGCTACTATGGGCGATAGCAGTGCTGGTTCCGAAGTCTGAACGTCTTAGCAAGACGGATCCCTGATCCGGTGAGACTATCCAAAAACTCGAGCAAACGTTTTCCAATTGTTCCTTTTTCATTCACTAGATGTTCCTTAGTGAAATAGCTGAACCTTGGGCGTATGCCTCTTGCGCGATCCCCCATTTCTTGACTGTGCTGTTTCAAGATCGATCCAAGGGTAAACACGGACTCAACATTTCTCATCTTTTCCTTTCTACCAGTAGCTTCTAACAAAAAGTTAATTTCTCCCTGGCCGGCTTTAGTGGATTCTAATTCTTCTAAACGTTCTTTACTTCTCTCGATCAGTGTCAGAACGTAGTTAACTTGGCTATACCCTTGGCACTTCTCTTGCAACTTTTCTACTTGGGTGAGGAACATAGTGTTGGAAGCAAATTCCTCACTAGCGTGATTGTATGCTGTCAACACGTTTCGCCATTTATCACATACAGAGGTCGCCAGCTTGAGCGCTGAGGCGAGGCGGCGGCCCACCTCACAATCGAAAGGCCCGATGACAACCTGTGCCAACGAAAGCTTCGCACCAAAAGTCAGCAGTTCTTCTGCCCTTTCAATAGAGTAGTTGAAATCATGCCTATGCGCGCTGAAGCCTGAACAGACATACAACCGCAACTCTTTGAAGACTCTCGTCCCGTCTTCGCCCGATAGTTTAAGTTCAGTCTGAATTGGCCACCCCGTCTCAACTATCAAATCCTCCACTTTGAAGACAAAGCGAAGCATCTCGTTAACGACAGACTCCTCTCTTTCGAAAAACTTAAAGATACCTACCGGCACTACAGTCTTTGGTGACTAACAGCACGCGATGCCTGCCAGAGGCGACCAGTTCCCCATGTTATTTACAATATCACTCACGACGTCTTTCACCGCAGAGGCATAGATGCCAGTCGTCGCGTGGTCAGAGAGTTCTTCTTTTTGGCGAGCTGGCGGATCACGTTTCGAATACTTCTCCACTTCGCCTGCGAACTTAGTATATTGGCGGAGACGCTTGATATGTTTACAAACTTTCAGACGAAGATACTGCTTGAACGTGATAGGTCGCTCAAGCCTCGCGGCTTTCGCAAACCCCATCATATCCTTCTTGTCCACTTTCAACTACCCAGCTAGAGACTTTTCTTCTTTTTTTCTAAATATAATATGTGCTCTATCTTCTCGCTAATGCGATATGCGAAGTATATTCGTACTTTACTCCCTCATTCCAGTGCGTGGCCCAAAAAGTTCTAACGTAACCAGACTTAAGGACGTCTCAGTTTCTTTTCCTTCCCCTTCCTGTTTATTATGCTCGAGACCATTCTCTGTTTATGCTCAACCTGAGGCAAACCCTCCAAGTAAGAAGCTGCGTCTTCGCCAAGACGCATATCATCGCAGCAATCCTCATTCGTCGTAGGTTTCTCCCCATCATGATCAGCACATTGTTGTTGATTAGAGAGTAGTATATACTAGCCTCCACAAGCTTCGCCCGGCTTCAAGTTAGTTTAGCACTATATTCTATAATATATTCGGTATAATATACATATGATGTACAACTATAGTACACTGTTGGAACTGTTATTTTTGATGACTTCGAGAGGTTTGCAAACATTAACATGTTACGGGATACGATGTCTCAATGAAATCGTTAGAGAGGACCACAGGTTGCAGGTTGGGTCTGTGAAGATGTCGCAACTAGGAATTTTGTAGCATCTGCATCAGCATCATTTGACGAGCTTCGGGCCTCCTGTTCTGAATCAAGCGGTGATCTGCTACTATTACATGTGGGCGCGAAGAAATTTATCTATCAATGTAAATATCGTTGGAAATGCATATCAATCTTTTACAAATTGTATCGGTACTATCGGTCGTAGCGGCATCCCATTTAGTTGAAACGCACACGCCCCGCTAAAGGGGTTGCAGATTCAACAACTTGCTAATGATGATCTGCCATAAGACTACTTGGTGCTGCTGCTGTCGTTGCACCGGGTTCTTGCCTTCTCCTCCTCCTCCTCCTTGCACACGGTTGGGGGACCACCATATCACATCCCCTCCGACCCCGCGTGAGCTCCTCAGAACACGGCCATATTGTACGAGGGGGATAGAAGGAATCTGTTTGCGCAACGGTCCTCTTGCCTTGCGGAAGTGTATCGTGTTGATCATGCGGTTGAGGAACCCCAAAAGGATCAGGATGCTCATCTGGACCGCCCCTGTGGGAAATCCAGTGGTGAGACGCTTCTTGATAGTGCTTGTGTAGCTGTTCGATCGCGGTGGGTAGGCACTGTTGGTGAATAGCAGTCGGAGTATACCTAGCCCATACACTTTCAGCCTCTTCATCGGCGCGTTTATTAGAGCGTAAGAAAAAGCATCATGATTCGATGGCTTCTGCTACTACATCAGTACTCTCCTTTCGCTGCATGTCATGCGCGCATGTGCAGATGGTGAGGGTGAAGCGTGAATTTATGTGAAAGGTGACGAGCTCGAGCCGTCTTTATAATTCTGAGGAAAATTTTAGATAACTTCGCAAAAATCAGACGTCATTGGCAAGAACACTACATTCTAAGTACTTGGGTTTGAGTATGCTAGAGCTTGTGAGGATACTGTTACAGCGATGAAAAGAAATTTAACTATCTTCATCAATGGTGTCTTAAAATGGGACACCTTCAAAGCGCAGAGGCCAGGAGGGCCAGTGGAGGTAGCAGGTATCGCGCGACGAGCGTGTAGTGGACAAGGCGAGTCATATATACTGTGTTCACAGTTGGTTTCATGAACGTAGCATACTTCCTCTGCCTTAGCGGCTGCCACAGCAGCTAGTGGTATGCTTAATCGCAGCTCCTCTGAGTCGCTCAAAGGCCAGCCGGGGTCGTGGGCCGCGTGAGTAGCAACGGCTGTATTTTTAGTATGATTATAATGATGAAAGGACTACTAGATTGTAGATGTAGTTCGTTTGGTAAACTAACCCCTGCACTAAAAAGTATCATTATATATATTTTCTCTCCTGCTGAAGCGGAACAAAAACAAATGAGCGTTTTGGAGGAACAAATGAAGCATTACCAACATTGTGACGGTCGTGAAGCTGGGCAACTTGATTCGTCTCATTCTGGGCTGTTGTTCCTTGTTGCAGCAGCTCATGATCTTCCTTTTTGCCGACGCGATCGTGGCCCTTTTGAAGAAGGTTATTCCTGTTGCTCTTGTTGCAGTTGCTGTTGATCATACGGTTTTCTCCTTGTTCCTCTACCTTCTTCGTCCACTGATCAGAAACAGAGGCAACAGTAGCTGAACGCAAAAGAAACAGCATTCTGCAAGCTAGAGCCAGTCTTTCCCAATCGGTTTCACTACCTCCTCCTCGCTGCGATACTACGGACGACGCGATGGAGTTGTTTGGAAGGAGCTCCTGAGGCGACACAACACCACTAGAATTTTCCGGCTTGCTCTGACCCTTATCTTTACTGTAGCCGTCCACTCTAAAACCAGTCGCAAGTTGATCATCTACTTGCTCCCGCTGGTGCAGCGATGAAAAATACGTTGTGCTGTCCTGCAGGACATCATTGTCAATGCCCCAGGTCCCTCCGTTTGCTCGCACAAACGGTGGAGACGAAGTTGAATTTTCGGCCACTGTTTCGAGATATCGCAGGCCAGCGGTATTCGCGGTGTTCTGTTTCTTCAGCAACGAAAGACGCTCTTGGAATTAGAGGTTGCAGCAAGAAGGTGGCCCAAACATTTCTATTTCTCATATCTTCTATGACTAAGGCTGGTAATAACTTTGTGGTTGTTACCACTATTCCCAGCACTTGAACTTGATGAAAAATCGAAGTCCAAACTAGATATGTGCTGCACAGGGAGTGAGAAACTAAGAAGTTGCAACCCTTAATGTAGTGCATGCTCGGTTACCCTCGGTTGGACTGAGCCAATACCGGTTTTGCCCTCCGTCCAAGCGATAAAAGCCGCCTGCCGCTGCACCGGTGCCTTAGGCGGACTCGGTGGAGGAGGACTCAGCGCAGAGGTGGGACGCGATGTACGCGGAGTCTCAACTCCTACTACTCTGTTATCGAAGTGGTCGCTATGAGTGGCTTTTTGCACGGCCTGGGCATGCTGTGCGCTCTGCATCTGCTCGCTCCTTCTTGGACCTGCTTGTGGTAACTGCAGTCGTAGATCGTTTCGATGTGCGGGCGCCCGGTCGTGTCCGAGTCCGAGAAGCTGACCATAATAATTCTCGTCCGGCAATTCTTGTCGAGACCAACGCCGATAAGTGCCTCCATTTCCATAGATACGATCAAGCAATTGGCGAAGCGCGGTAGCCCGAGTCTTGCGGACATGGATACCTCTCAGAATGGTTCTGCGTTTTTGGAAGTAGTCATCATCAACCTGCATGATTGCCGAGACTAACCACGTCCACCACAAAAAACACGACAACGCAAAGAAGAGGAAAGATGCACTCGATCGGTTATTATATCGAGCCATCTTGTTATTTGTGAATGCAAAAATATACATGCGACAAAGTAGTGATGACCGCGACATGTTTTTTTGTATTTTCTTTTATTTCTATGTAGAACTTACTACAAGTTGAATAAGAATAGTGAAATTTTCTATATTTCAACAACAACAACAACAAGAGGGGGAGCTTCGTGGAAAAGACTAGTTCTTGAAGTAAAAACACAAACAGAGAAAATGCCAGAAGTTCTACTACTAGTAAGTTATGGTTAAAATGTTAATGTTTTTTGTAAGCAAAATTCGCATTCTTGTTCGTTCAGTGTCATAATTGCTAGTGGTAATCCTAATCCTAATAATGTTCTTTGAGTTTGTGCTAGTTGTAGTACCTCCAATAAGGATAAAACTGCTCAACGAGATCCAAAAGTAGAACTAGAAGTAGTATATGAATATGTGTGTTTTACTAGTAGAATGGTGCTAGTGGTCTTCTCTTGTTCTACTTGTACTAGCATAGGCGATATCGAGAATGTTGAATATTACCAATGGAGCACGTCTATCTAGGAACCAAAATTACGAAATTATTAAATGAAATCCTTCGGATACGGATTCAAAGAAAGAGGCTTTAGCACACATCAGAAGAGCATCCTTTTCCTACAGAGTTGAAAGCTGTTTTTGAGTTGTGAAGGAGGATTTTTTTGTTCTGCAGGAGCGTTTACAATCAAATGTGTAACATGGATCGAGTTCTCTCTTTCACTTTCTCGAGACTTGTGTTACGTTCTCCTATCTCCTCTCAGTCTTAGCTAATAGCGAGTCCAAATGCAGCAGCATGCTCTACTTGAGGTAACGATGTAGCTTCTCATCTTCGGACGCCTTAACCTAACGGACAACCAAATACAATTACAAACTCAGAAGAGGAATGCGTAATGTGTTAAATGGAAACCCGCACAAGAACGGTGCGGAACGTTGACGGTGCGGAACGTTCCCGGTGCGGAACGTTGACGGTGCGGAACGTGGACGGCGCGGAACGTGGACGGTGCGGAACGTTGACGGTGCGGAACGTTGACGGTGCGGAACGTTGACGGTGCGGAACGTTGACGGTGCGGAACGTTGACGGTGCCGAACGTTGCTTAGACCTCACATTCACAACGTTCATCAAGATCTTCGCGAAAAGAATAAGAATACACCACCATTTTTCAGAAGAACACAATTTCAATTGTCATCTGTCTGACAAAGTCGTGGCACTTCTAGGCCTGCTCGTGTTTCTTGTGGTAATGATAATGTTGAGTATGAGTGGTTCTGATCGTCCACCTCGTAGTTTAAAAACAGCATTTTCTCATGTTTCACTAGTTGTTGTAGAAAGTTTTCGTTGGTGAGAACAGAGAGGCGTCGTTCACTTACATGCTCAACAGCTTGCTTCACAGTCCAACGACGATAGGACATCAGAAAAGCAGTCAAAACTGCGCTACTGCGATTAACACCCTTTACACAATGGATCATAACCCTTCTTTGCATCTGCTTCGCGAGAGGTGTTGTAGTGCGGGCATTTATGGCGTCATTATCTTCAACAAGGGACGACGTGGAACGTTCAACAATTGAAAGTTGGCCCCCCTCTAGATCTAGTAGGTCGCATGTGAAGATCTATGGCTTTCCTACTTGAGATACTTAGCCACATATCTATGTACTTGAGGAGACTGAAGACAGCCATAGAGATGCTCCTCTTATAGATGATAGGGGGTCAACTCCACCCAAGCCTTAAAACAAGTGACGAGGAACGTGCTGTGCTCGTCGTGTTCTGAGATTTTATCTGTCGAATGCCTGTGCCCGGTCCCTCATAATGGGGAGCTCCTGTTGGGGGACGTGACGACGTAGAAGGATCAGAGGTCTTGTTTAGAAGCCCGTCAACGAACTTTCTTGCTCGCTCAAAATCGGGCAATATATTGTAAGCACGGTCGTCTCTCGCATTCAGTTCAAAGTAGTCGCTAATGCCGGCAAATTTCCTATAATAGCGTGCAGGATCGGCTTTGTAGCGCGACAGCAGCTCTGAGGGATACCTGAAGTGAGATGCACTGCTGTCAGTCACATCTGTAGTGAGTTGTGATATGGTTGTGATATGGACAAGTAGGTGGAGGTCTTGTTCAAAGTGAGAACCTGCAGATAGATGTGCGTTGAAGATAGTAGATCCGTAGCAAGTTGTTCAAGAATCACGCAGCAAATGCTTACTGTTACTTATGTCATTGCTCACTGACTCTGAACGGAAGAGGATCCCCTTCAAAGCTCTCCCCTTTCCCTTCATTTTCCCCTGTTGGTTCTCTCAACGGGTCGCCTCTTCGATCTCATTGACCAACCCCAATGGAATGAGCATTGAACAAAGTTGAGCCTTAATAATGAAGCAATAAGAGCCACTACCACAATAGGAACTACCTGGCGAGCCTTGATAGGGCCGCTTTGCTCAATGCTGCGTCTCCGTTTGTGCAGCTTCTGTACACACTCTGTTCAGATATTCGTAGAGCCTCGTCCATTCCTGGTCCAGCAACTACTTCTTTCTCCACATATGCGCGCAACTTTCTATCTTCAAGGCTAGTCTCGTCATCCTCAGAAGACCCAAATGGTTTAGAAGCTCTCGATCCTCCATTCAGACTGCTTGCGCCATTGCTTGTCGTCCAATTAGAAGAGGCTCGTTCACCTCCGAGCAACGCGGCATATGATCCATCGTCGGCAAGTACTGGTGAACGAAGCGGCTGTAAAACGGGACTGCATGCGCTTACGCAAGTTGCGCTGCGCTCTCATATGAAGAAGGGATAGGAAAAAAATCTCAACCTTATCCACCTCGTAAGGCACAACATTTCATTTCCCTAACTGAATGTTGTTGATGTAGAGAATCTAGTTATAATCTGACTTTTTCAAGTTTATCAAGATACAAGAAGTGCTTCTAGTACAGTAGCTGGCAGCACGACTATTGATAATGACGATGAAGGGACTAGATTGTAGGATGATTAATTTCACTACCCTGCGTCTAGATAGTCTAATTGTAGTCACACGACTATGAATTTACTCTTTCTTCTCCTACTCGTACTCCTTCATCCATACTTATTCCTTCCTCATCATCCTACTTATTTCGTCCTCATTATCCTACTTATTCCTTCCTCAGTATCCTCATCCTGCCCTTCGTCGTCGAAGCCGATACAGGAAAGTGCTTTACTCGATCGTCCTATGTTCTGTAGGTCCGGTAGCTGTTGGAAGCGGCGTGGCCGTAGTGACTGCGACGATCGCGACGTCATATCGAGCGTCACCTCTTCTGCCTTTTCCGCAGCAAGTCTCATCGGCAGGCCTGTGTTGCTCGCACCTGGAAATGTGTTCGCAAACGTCTCATTTTCTTCGATGCTTCTAGTTGTTGTTTCGCTAAGAGGGTCAGCGTCAGAGCCTCTAGAGTCGTTGGCTGTGCAGGTGTTGTGAAGAGTGCTGTCACCAGCAGTGTCCTCGTGAGGAGTGTCCCTGTCCGTCGTTATACTAGATGTTGAACCGGCAAAAACTGCCTGGTTCAATTTGGACGATGAGGACTCCTTCTGCTCCACTGCTCCTCCAGGACTTTCGATTTTCGCTAGTAACCGTTCTTGCCGGACCTCCTTCAACAGCGCACTCTGACTACCGCCGGCTATATTCACAACCGCGTCGATGCGATTCGCCCGAAGAAAGCCCATCTCCACTGCGGCGTGAAGATTCGAGAGGAAGAGCGCTAACTGGAATCGGAATGGGAATCATGCATGATGAAAATGAAAAAGGACGATCGGATCTTCATGATGAAGATGAAAAAGGACGATCGGATCTTCATGTAAAGATGAAGATGAAAAAGGACGATCGGATCTTCATGTAAAGATGAAGATGAAAAAGGACGATCGGATCTTCATGTAAAGATGAAGATGAAAAAGGACGATCGGATCTTCATGTAAAGATGAAGATGAAAAAGGACGATCGGATCTTCATGTAAAGCAAGGATAAGTATAAGTTAGTACGTCTACGTGGTGTAAGTACCTGCATTATGGCGAGATGATCACGACTTGCATGAAAAAAGTGATGGAGTTCAAACAAATTGTAATTTCAAAATCAAGACCTTAGTATCTCGCTTCAGCAAACAAAAACGGTAACATTCTTAGACTACTTCTAGTACTACTAAGTAGGTACCCTGGAGTCTTCGTATATCAGATTGGAGTCATCGTTATCATGTAGACCGGAAGCATTTTCGCCTGCAAACGCCTGCCTTTGTCTGACGATGCGATCGTTATTTTCCTCGAGGAGTTGCAGGAGTGACTCCATAGGCGATTCCATTATCGTCGATGATGTTGATGTCATGATTTAGATTTTTTTCTTTGAACGGTATTCGTATCGGTGATAAAGATAACTTTCATAAATCATAATTACGATTACTGTAATGACAATGAGCCTCACCCCCAGTTAGCCCCCGCGTTTTGCGGCCCTCTGCCACTGCCTCTCGTTGTAAGATATGAATGATATGTATGAAAGGAAAAAGTAGTGCACTCACACTTAAGAAAATAGCTACTTTCCTACTTGAATCCTCGCCAATTTTTCGACTGTGAGTGCTCTTTTTCCATTCATAATATGAAGGTTGCGATAATCTCAGAGATATTTTAGTCTTTTCGCATCTTCGTCTTGCTGTTAGTCCACACGAGGCTGCTACCTCAATAGCCTCTTTTTCAAACACTCTCATTTCATGTGTGCTTGACTCGGTGGATGCTCTAGCTCTCGTTTTTCCGCCTTATTATTTTTACCTTACTTGCAGGACGTGGACAGGCATCAGCGCAGTAATGACAGTGGTCCATGTTACATGCTTTCGCATCGCAAATTCCACCAGACAGGTGCTTTTCCTTAATCGGATACTGCACAATTGTCCGCACCAGACGCCTCAGGGAGGACGCATCTACATCTTTAGCTTTATAAGCATACGCAAGTCTTGAATGATATTAGATGAAATTATGTTTGAGTATTTCAGATTTCAGATTCGAGGAGAGAGAAGAACAATATTGTCGACAGGAGTACCTGTGCAATCAATATCGAAACTCCATTACAAAGCAATGCAGACACGCAGAACAGCAGTAACGACAGAAAAGTCTTTCAAATTTTGACTCCGGACGAGGTAACTTTATTCAACCTTAATATCCGACGGAAAATCACAGGCACATCGCAATCATATTTTTTTTCAATAATTCTAGCTCTCGTACTACATGTACATATCTTGTCATCAAGTGTTGTACCAATGAGACGCGTCTTCATCTTCGCTAAGTATAGTACCACTAGCTGCTACAACTATCTGAAATTACACGTGCGCCTGTGGGATGCGAAGATCACGCTCCATTGAAAAATTCCTCAGCGGCCTCTCTATTTTTTTATGTACTTACTATCAGCAACATTAAGAAGATCGAAGAATACATAACAGTCCAGGAAAATGAGAAGATAGGTGCATTTCAACGAACCCGTAGAAGAACATAGTATGATGGAAAAACGACTCAAAGGTAGCTGCAAAAGCTTTGGCTTCCCTTGTTGTCTACACTCCAGCCTCGTCATCTGCGAGGACCTTGCGCCGTAGCGCACTCGCTACCCGCGCAAGCAGAGGTGAGATATGTGGCTGCCTCCCTGAAGATGCTGATGTCCCTACTTTCGTCTTCGTGCTGTGGCTGTGCGTTTTACGAGGCATATTCGACGCATTTTTGTTTGTGCGGAAGTTTGTCTGCATTGTCTTCTGCTCTAATTTGTTGTCGTGATTCTCGGAACAAGCAGGTCGGAAATGGCGAAAGAGAGAATCTGATGCATCAGGGGTGAAAACACTGCGTGAAGAGTCGCGACTGCGGTCCAACGTGAGGCCGCTCATCTTGGCATGCTGGTTGACGTTATTGCCATCCTCTTGTTGGTCATGAGCTTCTTTATCCTTGTCGTTCCCCACTACATCTATTTCAACACCTTCACAGTGGTCGGCATCACCAAAGTTCCCACTGTAATTTTGTCGTGGCGGCGACCACCTTTCGGGTAAAGGATTCCTAGTCGATGAGCCCTGCGTTTGGATGACCAAAGTATCTTCACCGCAATCGGAATCGGATGAACCTCCGTTATGGTCATAACTTTCTGCTTCTAGCAACTGCAATTTTAGCAATTGAGAAGTAGTCAAGGAGGACGGGCCCGTACAACAACAGCTAGACGTAGACTCAGGTACTAGGTCAACGATGACCGACGTCGTGGCAGCCGTTCCGGATGATCCTGCGGTGGTAGACCGTGACGTCGTAGTTACGCTAGCGCCAGAATGCACGTCCGCGGCATGGCAGGATCGCGAAGCATCCTCCTCGCCTTCATCGTCCGTAAGCGAGACATGATCATCGTACTTCTGCTCTATCACTTCATCTCGTCTGTAGTGCTTATGGTAGTTATCATGGTCATGCTGAAGGGGCATAGAAGTGCCCATACGAGTTGAGGTAGTGCGACTTCGATTTCCAGATCTGCGAGATCTGCGGAACATCATAGAGGAATTCATCAAGTTGTTCATCGTTGCACCTTGCTCCGACATCAACTGAATGCTGTCACTGTTATCTGTACCGGTCGTTGTTGTACCTCTCGACACGACTACTTGCGCCCCCTCGTCAGCAGGACCAGTACCGCCATGACTACTACTCCTACCAAGAACAGTGAGCGCAGATCCTGCTACTTCTCGAGGCATGCGAGAAAAGTATTGTTCGCACCGGTAAGTATAGTTTCTACGGTCCAAAAGGCTGTTCGCACTCCCAAGGCCCCTTGCCGTGAATGGCTGCTCACATTCCGTTAGAGCTCATCCTTCTAACCTATATCGAGAAGTAGCATCCTGTCCCCGCTTTTCTTCTTCTTCTTGAAAAGCCTCTATTCTAGGATGACTCCTCTGAAGATGGATTAGGGTGTATGCCGTAAGTCTGACCTCGAGCTTGAAGATGACGGACTCACGACTAGTGCACTCTCTCCTTCATCCATGTCTTCACTTCCATATAAATCAAGGTCCTGCAGCACTCGTGGTCTATTCATTCCTCTTTGAGCAGCAACTACGTTCTTCAGACCGCGAGAGGAATACGGGTATAGTCTGCCGTCACTTTCTGGAAATGAGCATGAATATTGCATATTATTCTTCCGACTGTGTGACTGAGGTGGCCGCGACAGCTGCGACGCCCTCTGAGTCAAGTCATCCTCGTCTCCAGGATCTTCAGTCCCTGCATCTACTTCAGCTCCTGTACTATTCCTTCTGGTGTTCCTGTTGTTCTTATTTCTACAAAGTAGCTGTTGTTTAGATGTGTCTTTTGATGTGCTGTCATCGGCTCCATCGGATCCATTTTCAGTCTTTTTCTTGCAGCATTTGCAACAACACTGGCAGCACAGACAGAGCAGAATCATCATGAGTAGCACAATCGCGATACCGAGCAACGTCGTGGTAAGGTCTTCGCTGCTTCCGCCTGCTCCGAAAAACAGTATATTTGATACGAGACCAGCTGGTGTCGTACTCAACGGTGAGTGAGCAGGAAGTGAACGGCCGCCGTTTGGCGACATGAGGCCACCGCTTCGTCCTCTGCCAAGTGGCAGCTGCTGCATCGTAGAGTTACCGCAGCTACCTGCTCCACCAGGTCGCCGATAATGTGGCGTCAAAATCGTTTCGACTGGGGCCCAGGAGTTGTCCCCGAGTTGTAGGCGATTCTCGAGTGCGTCAGCTAGCGACGAGCTTCCCAGTAGAATCTGTTGGAAACCAGCATTGATTCGAATTGCCTTTTCCTCCGACGCAGCAGTACTAGTTGCGAGGGCTTTACTAGCTGTACTACTCGCGGGAGCATCGAGATGATCGAGGACAGTCCCTCGTCTACCTTTTTCGAGATCTTCGAGTATACTTTCTTCAAACAGCGTCGAAAAAATATCTTGGTCTTCTTGACCTAGACCTTCTTCGTCTGCTTCTTCTTCATCTTGGTCTTCTTCTTCTTGACCTAGTAGACCGTCTTCGTTCAGGTTCACGGAAGTAGATCGTGTTGAACAGGGTATAACTATAATAGTCGACGATGTAGTCGACGAGGACCTTGTTCTGTTGCGTCGTTGCCCACCACGACGCGCCGCTTGAAAAAGCAGGGTGCCAAATGACAAGAGGTTATCTTGCAATTCGGGATCCGTCAGAAACGAAGTAATGGTATTGTTAAAGCTCGGCCTTCAATGGTCATCATGACTCTGAACGGAAGGGACCCCCTTCAAAGCTCTCTCCTTTCCCTTCGTTTATTTCCCCCGTTGGTTCTCTCAAGAAGGGGTCGCCTTTTCGATCTCAGTGACCAACCCCAATGACCATTGAAAGCTGAGCCTTAATATTGGTGTACAGATTGGTGCAGATTGTCAAGGCACTCTCGAGCAATCCTTGCAAACGAGCAATATCGTTATCGGCCCGAAAGTTCAAAAGAGGCTTCGCCACCCAGCCACGAACTAGCGAGTCCACGGACGCGGGAATGCGACGACCGCCAAAGCCCAGGACTTTAGATGATATTTTTGAGGTTCGACGTTGAAGAAAATTTTATTTATTAGAACAAATTCCGATATTTCGGTTTTAATATTACGAGGTCAAAAACAAGCACAATTTTTTCTAGAATCAGGTAGTTACTGCATCTCTCGTAGTTGCTAGGACCCTTTTTACCCTTACAGGTGATGACTCGGTAAATGAAATCCAAAATAACCAAAACACTGTGACACAAACAAAAATATTCGCCTTAATGAGTGCAACAATGGTGTGAATCAGTCTCCAGCTCGTGGTCTCCAAGACGCCCGCAAACGACGTCTCCCAACTAAAGAGACTCTGAATTTTTCTCGCAGGCTTAGCATTTGCTAGCTTGCATCTCAGTCCTCCCCTCATCAGATGAGCCCCTTTTGCCTTGTACCTCATGAGAATACAAGGGAAAAAAGGTATGATCCAGAAGATGTCGAGAAAGATGGATACAAGCCGACCTTAAGAGGAGTGCTGCTGCTGGTAGTCTGTCTCTGTCCCTGTCCTCCACCTCCAGCGATGATGTTGTCGAAGCTATTTTTACCGTAACCGGTGAACGCACTGGCTGCCGTTCCACCTGCTGGCGCGTCGCACCTAACTTTTTTCAGCTGGTCGTCGACGGTCTGTCGCAATCGGACCACAGCAGGCGTAATGCGCTCAGCCATTCTGTAGGCAGAGTGATTGTCAACAACAGGTTGATCATGTTGCCTTTGCTGCTGAGGTTGACCACGTTGACGATTTGCTGCAAGAGCGCCAGCATCTGGTTGTCGAAAGTCAAAAACGTTGACGATTCCAGGCTGCAGCACTCGACGCAATACCCGTTGAACATGCTGTAGAAGGAGATCTCGGTCTTCTTCTGATGGCACACCAGAGACAGTCTGCATGATATGCCTCATGAACACCGAATAGCGAACTTCAGAAATTTCTGAGCTGCCGCGTGGAACGGTCGCGTAGGATGGCCCAACTACATCACTAGTATCGTGAAGATCCCCAGAAGGACCACCATCTTCGAGCACTCGTTCGCCGCACGTGCCAGGCGGTGGTTGAGTCGATGAGCTGGTGAGGCTTAGCGGACGATTTGAGCCGATAGAAGAAGGCGCGTCGCGCAATGGTACTAGTGGTCCTTGTTGAACATTTGTGGTTATAGCAGAAGCAGGGCGTCTCCGTCTGCATTGCCAATTTCGGGGACCCAGATTGCGTAATGCAGCAGTACTACGGCCCCAAGCGGAAGAAAGAAACCTTGCTCCACCACGCATACTCCAAGCGGCGGCACTTGTTGATTCGCCGCTTCTCCGGTGCGCATCCACTCCAGTCGGGCAAACATCTGAAGAAGTTGAAGTCTTCTACGAAATAGTACACTTAATAAGTAGAAGTACTAGAAGATGTTGACCACGTAGACCACGTTGTTGACGACGTAAAACGTATTTTTATAGTATTTTTTCTCGTATCAGTATCTATTAAGTTTAAGTGTGATGGAGCAAGAACAACCAAAGAAAAGAAAGAGTGATGTGTACAACGACCATCCGAAGTGGCAGAGCGCGGTGACCCCGTACCTGCTTGAGGCGACATGTCGAGAGCCTGAAGCCATAGAGACCAAGTCGATGTAATCTCCGAATCAGTAAGCGGATCAGGATCGTCTTCGCCATCCAGAATGCTAAGGAGTGTTTCTCTTAGATTCGTCCAGACACGATCCTCTGCTGAAATTGTGCCCGCTCCAGTTGCCTCTGTCGTAGGAGTTGGGGTGCCCGCTCCAGTTGCTCCAGTAGAGGTAGCACGGGAACGAGGTAGATTTAGGTGACTCCCAGGTCCGGCTTGTTGCCCATGCATACCTGCGACCATAGCCATCGCGGCCGCAGCTGCTCTAGGTCTTAGCGTAGCAGCAGACTGCAATGCAGTGGGTGATGTTCTACGCTCGTCATCTACAGAGGAAGACTCCTGCTCTTCTGTGGCGCGCACGTGCACCCAATAGAGAAGCGCAGCGACTGCACGGCCCCTGCGATTTGAGTCGTATGCCGCAAAAGCGCTGGTTAACAATGAGGAGACCCCGCCAACTTGTACTACTTGTTGGCCTCGTAGAGCGGAAAATATGGACACAAAATGGTGCCCAAGCATGTTGCTATTGCAGAAGAAGTGCGAGTAGGGTGCGAGATGAGTGCCAGAAACGAGTTCATGGAATATATTTCCCGGAGATATGGTACTAATGCCAATCCTCGGCTGTTGTCCTTGCTGTTGTTCAGAGTGGACATGTCCTGTTCGTTGCTGCGCGTTCCTAGACGGCGAAGTCGCGAACAACATGCGATCCCTCACGTCCTTCAAAAGCCCTTCTGCCCTGCCAAACATGGAATGTGAAGGCACTAGCTGGCTCACCAGCGAGCCAGGTATGTTGTCTCCTATGCTGGTTAGAATTGGACAGGCGGAACAACACGACAAGAACAAGTAGCACGCAGACATCAAAAACAAAAACTAAATATTATTGGTCGTCGTCGTAGGCACAAACACAATAACAATAATAGAGACGAAAGCTTGCCACGACGGAGACAAAAGATTTACAAACAGAAGGAGTAACTGTAACAAAAACAAATAACATCAAGAAGCACTCGATCTTCAAATAGCAGCAAGCAGGTCAACATAACCTCATAGCCACCTGCGGCGCTGACAGCGACGTCCACGTAAGCAGTGGATCCTCATCTAGGACGGGCGCTGCTGCTGTATTAGTGCCTGTACTCGGCACTTGCGATTCTTGCGTAGGAGGTTGCGCAGAGATCTCGAAGTACTTTCCGAATCTCGCCGGTTTTTTGCGTCGTAGCACCCCCCTTGTCCTTGCGCCAGTCATTTTCAATTCCTCGCGAAGGCTCTTATTCGAGGAGGTAGAAGGGTCTTGCTGTTCCTGTTTCCCGTTTGTTATGCCTCTTCCCTTAGGAAGGAGGGGCAAAACAAGCGGGAACAGGAACGACTAAAAATTACCTCTCTTAACATTATGATTATGTCGGAGCCGGTTGTTTATCTCCTTCTCGCTGTTCTCGTCAGTTCCACCGCCTCCGAAGAGTAAAGAACCGTCATGCAACCCATGTTCCATCGCTAGGTCGGAAACGAATAGAAACTCCTCGCAATGCGAGTAGTGCAATGTCGCAGGGCCTCTGCTATCCTGTGCACCTGGATCTGCAGATTGAGAATCAGCCTCAGCCTGATGAGGCGTTCTGCACTTAACGACTGTCGTAACGGCAGATTCGAATTCCTGCGTTAGCTTGGCAAGCTGCGACTTCAGATTGTGAGGCTTGGAAGTCACTGCCCCGATGAGAAAACGCATAGTCATTCGAACGTCATGCAATTCGTCTGAGCAGACCTCGAGGAAGCGTTGATTTAATGAGCGGAGGTAATCGACATCAACATCCTCTCGGTGTTTATGTGCGGAATGTGGTTGATGACGTCGTAGCTCATCTCGTTCACTACTCTCTCCTTGATGTCCTCCAACGCCTAATGGAAAATGCTGATCATAAAGCTCGTGCTGCTCAACTGCTGCAGCACCGGTGGGCAGTGCTCCGGGCAGCTGCTGTTCCGATTGCAGCTCTGTTGTCGCGGCGGCGCCATCTACAGATGTTGTGTCGCTAAATGTTAGCTGCCATTGGTGATCCTCGACAGTAGAGGCGCGACCGTCTACGTCCATCAAAGCTTCTTCACCTTGTTCAAAACCAGAAGCAGCAATAATATTACCTCCCCGGTGAGTCGTCCGCGCATCAAACGGAGGAAGCCCTAAAAGTGCGCCTTCAGAAGTGCTGCGCTCGCCGTGCTCGTCAACAATTCCGACTGCAGCTTCTTCGGAAATCCTGTGTTCAGGCCCTACGTCGTGGTCGTCCCCAAACGGGCTCGTTGTCGAAATTTCGCTTGAAGATGAAGGAATGTAGACCACCTCCGGCATAGGCGGAGATGAGGACCGGCCGTGTGCTGCTGTTCGATGCGTACCGACTACTAGACCAGCCGCGCTTTGCACACCCAAACCACCGGAGTTTAGTAGATTTACCTCTTCTGCTGCATCTGCTTCTTCCATCGCAAGCCGTATATCTCTTTCTACGTGTTTTTTCATTGAGACAGCCTTGTCGAGCTGCACTAGAAACGCGTCAATGATGGCTGGCGCCTCTCGGGGATAGATCTTGCTGAAGTGCAGTGCGACGAACTCGCACCATGCAAAAACGCCACGAGTCCAGATTGGACAACGTTCTTCCAACTTCGTTTGCGAAAAGAACTCATCATCTGGCCACTCGAAACCAGCTCCAGAGTGTGACTGAAGAGGAACAGGATGTTGGCCACTCGCAATGGCCGCACGCGTTGATTTTGTTGATGTGTCGGCAGACAAGGTGGAGACGACTGGTCGATTTCCTCCTCCACTACGAACATCACCGGAACTTCTAGACGCGGTTAGCTGTGAAGTTCGAGTTTGACCAAATTCAGACGCGGTTAGCTGTGCCCGATTCAAGACTTCGCCGTACATCGATTGTGGTTGCGTAAAAGACTCAGAGGGCACTTGCTGATTCGCGTCCTTGAATTGAGTGAGCATTTCCCTCATTACGTCGAACAGGTGCATCGTTATCGGTCCCATATTGCATTCCGTCACCACGTCGAGGAGCGCTGCAGCACTGTCGTGTTGTTGAATAGGCAAGGTTGATTCAGAATCAGGAATACTATTCTTCACATGTGCTGATTCTTTGCAGCAGACTAAGAAAAGAAAACGCGACACGATTAAAACAGAAACGAAAGAGGAGCGACACCAGTGAAAAACACGAGGACCAGTGAAGATTGTATCAATCTCAATCATGTCGCATATTGCATTCCGTCACCACGTCGAGGAGCGCTGCCGCACTGAGGAGCAACACGTTGTAACTACTTATAAGTAATTGTATTACCCATACCCGTGTTCTTCACCTTTTCAATTGATCACGTTAGTACCAACATCCCTATCCCACTATTTTTAAGTAACTGTACCCATGTTCTTCACCTTTTCAATTGATCACGTTACCAACATCCCTATCCCACTATTTTTGTTTAAGTACTGAACTGTACCCATGTTGTTCTTTCCAGTTGATGACGATATCACCCCATTCGTCCAAAAAATTAGTCGGTCCGAAAAAACGGTATCTGAACAGAAAGACGCTCATCGGGTATGTATCGTCGATCTCAGCACTGTCGATTGTAGCATCTGACATCGACGATCCATAGACAGTTGACCGTCGAGTTGTTGTTATTGATGATGCTCCAGCCGCTGAGAAGGAGGCAGCAAAAACGTTGCGGTCTTCTCCGCTGGTCGTACCATGAGAAAGAGTTTCGTCCGGACCTACGAGGTCTCGTACTTCGGCAATGCGCAGTACAGGAGTCCTTGTTTCCTCACGACTACCGGAGGCGGAAATCGGGCTTGTTCTCAGCATGTCAACAAGAGTGTTGTTCTGCCCATCGCGTTCAGTCGTAGCTGATCCGACCGGCTGCACCAATCGCTCTCCATTTCCTCTGTCGTCGCTGTCGAGAAACGGCGTTACACCTGCACCGATATCCCGTTGCTCTCCCACGCTTGCAGCGTGTATTGACGTGAGGATTGCACCTTCAAGGAAGCAAACCGCAACGAAGAACGGGTAACGGATAAGGCTTACTTGAAGACCAGGAGACATCATATTCTTCATGGAATTCTGGATATAATTCAACATAATGTTTATTGAGCACCAGACGCAGACCGCAACAACGACAAGGGGCATATCTTCTAGTGCACTGGCACACTTTGAAGATAGATGATCTTCAATTTACATCTCTCAACGATCTTGCTGCTCAGAGGGACCAACAGAAAAGTTGCCATTGTGATGATCTTCCGTTCAAGATGAGAATGAACGCGGGATCTCGGTATTCAAAAAGCGATCTCAGACATCAATGTATGATTGTGTTCACCAAAGTCTCTCGGCGAAACATTCTGCTCTCAGCATCAGGTCGCTCTTGCACACTAAAAAATAAAGGGCTGTCTGACCCGAGTTGTTTGGCAGTTAGAACTTCCTTGTCAGTCATTCAGTTTCTGCTAGCGCCGTGGCTATTGCCACAATGTGACACGAACAAAGTTTTTCGGTAGTACACGCGCGTGCAGCGAGGCGAGCTCAAATTCCTTCTCGCACGAGAAATTTCACTAGCCCTAGCGCTTGAAGTTGAAGCATGAAGCATTATTTCCTCCACGACTTTGAACGACTTCTATGTATAATCATGAGAAGTCGTATTCACACTCACAACGACATCAAGCATCAGCTGTTGGATTTCCTTGTTCATGATCTACTGGACTTGGTGGAGTGTCTGTGTGTGTGTCATCATCGAACCCGTGTAGTACATCCTCGTAAATGTTTAACAAATGATCGCGTATTCGGTTCAGAACCCTTGTTGCATAAGGCATCGTTTTTTCAATCAGCTTTCTCTTTTCGGCAGAATCGCCAGACGCTTCTACTCCTTGATCTTGAGCGTTGCCGCCATCGGCACCCCCGTCGACGCCAGACGCTTTCGAATCTACTCCTCCTTGATCTTGAGCGTTGCCGCCATCGGCACGCTCATCGACGCCTTCTGCGCTTTTCACGATGATGGACTTCGCTGCTTGATGCGCAGGTGCCACAATCTGGCTGTATTCCTGCGTGAGTTTTTGCGCCTGCTTCAACTCATAGAGCGCTCCACGCAATGCCCTCTGCCTCTCCAACTCGTCCCTCAGTTCAAGCTTTTCTGCTGCTCCTCCTGGAAGTTTGCGGTTGAATTCGTCGATTCGCTCCCCTACTCGCTTGGCAAAGTTCTTCTCGCTCGCTAGCTGCCCTGCAAAGACATCCCGCAGAACATTCAACGCGTGATCACCGCCTACATTTTGATGATCTAGTTCTAGGGCTACTACCATCTTCTTAATGTTTATTGGCCTTCCTTTTCCTTTTCTTTGAACATGAATTACATAGTAGCACATACACATAGAAGTAAAGATTATCCGTCGTCGATGAAAGTGCATAACAATAATTTTTCTGTATAACATTTACAACAACTACATGATCTACATCAAGATGAACATACGTAGAATTATCATAGATACAGATGCATTTGTTTATGGCTGTGGCTGAAAAACAAAAAAATAGGGAGGGCGACATTTCTGAGTGCGATGTCAAGATGTAATAGCAGCTAAACAACAAGAAGGAGATTGCCCTTTCAACATGGCGGTCTGTCAGGATGGAAAAGGAAAGGGCGTGTGGAGAGGGGATTATAACTGGTGATGGTGTGCGTGCCGAAGACGTAGCGAGCATGCCTACTTTTTCTAGTAACAGATCAACAAATGACCGACCGTAACTCGCGGGAACCGATTCTCGAATTCTGCTTAATGATAAGCTTCTGTATGTGTTGTGTATAGATTGATAAAGTCTACATCCGTTCAATTGAACTCTACATCCGTTTATTTCCGAACCAACACCAAACTACTTAACGAATAACTTTGAACCACAAGTGGTAGTGGTTAAATCTTCTTGCATCACACAAGTCGTTCTATCAGGTCTACACTTAGCTTTTCTTCGCGAGTTGTTGTTTAAGTTTAATGTCAAAAGTTGATCGCCCTCCAGTTACAATGTGACACAGCGTGGCTTTGGTTGACAATATACATATGAGCATTTTCAGGCTCATTCCATCCTAATGACCGACGAGTGAACGCCTTCTCAGGTTTTCGCTGTACACTTGCCTTTACACTTGCGAAGTGCAGTGTTCGGCCACACACGACATTTTCATTTTACAGACTTCTGACCTTTTTTCACAATTCAATAGCTATTAAGTTACTGTTACATGCTGATAAAACTATACTACACTTCCAATCGATATCGAAATATATTCATAATCATATGATAGCAATTATTGGAATGCTCCTCATGCTGGCTGCGGTGTTAAGAACAGATGTCGACGAAGCAAACTGATCAGTCTTTTTACAATTACATTATATGTTACTACGTCAGTTTCTTCAATTATTGAAAAGGAAGAAAGAGGAAGCCTGCCACTCCCTTCGCTGCTGCAGTATGAGCAGATGCCGAGCCTTAGGATTCTCGTATGCTAGGCTACTCATGAAAGAAAAATTTATTAAAACGATGGAGCTCTGATCTTGATGCTTGTTCTGTATGGTTTTGTTCTTGGAAACTTAACGAGCTTCCCCATCATCTAGGAGCTGCATCATCGTCATGACTGTATGAATATATTTATACACAACAGGTAAGATGAGAGACTCTTGAAAAGCTGTACATATGGAAGACATACATGATAGTTATTCATGTTATAAGAGACATGCATAGTTAGTAACGTTCTATGGATATTAGGGACTGAAAATTCTGTCTGCACAGCATTTTTTGTATCAGAAGTACTTACAAGACAAACTACGTACTTATCTAGATGATGATCACTCGGCAACTCGACAGATACGATATCGGCATGGCATTCTGTGCATAGTAGGTTTGAGTTGATGGTATGCATCTATGACCAAGTGATGGCGCAAGTTCGTTCATTCTCATCTCTGTGACACATGATCACCAAACCAGAAGTAAAGACATTCTAAGACCACACTTCTGGCTTGTATTTTTCTGACTTCTTTTTTCGTGACTTGGAGGACCAGAATCTATGCGCTTGCGCATTTATGATCTGCTTTCGCCATTTGCTGACCCTTCGCCATACTCATCTCGTGGATAAGCGACGTTGCCGCGAAGTGTTTTCCACCTCTGCGACTGCGTGGTCAATACCTTGTTTACCATATGTAGACGAGGCTATTCAAATTCATTTTTTCAATGAGACAATCATCAAAATGGGAACCACGATGTCGACAGAGAGAACGTCGACAAAGCACCATTCCTAGTAGGGATTTATGTGTACACTCATTCCCAACGCGTTGTGCTGCTCCTCATGGAAGATCGACGACGGAATAGACGAACCGGCCCCACTCACGTGCTTGGGCTTGCTGCTCGCAGCAGTAAGCCCCGCGCCAGTCGTGCCCTTATCCTTGTCGAGAGAAACCTTAGTAAGTGAGATTTCGGAAAAGTCTACTCCTATGCGTCGCCAATTTGTCATATGGCTTTCTAGCATTTTAGTTTCTGACCAGGTTTCTCTACTGTGCTTCATTTCTCTAATAGCAATACATGAAAAATGCCTACTACGATGCTAAGAGAGACAGCCTGAACTACTAAGCATCATTCTTAGTTGTAGGCATTTACCTGTAAGCCCATCCCCACCGCGGTACTGCCTCGCTCCTTATCGAAGATAGACGACGGGATAGACGACAGGGGTCCCTTCCCGCGATTCTTGTTCGCAGCAATAATCCCCGCATCAGTCGCATCCTTGTTAGCCTTGTCGAGTGGTACCTGATTAAGTGATAAGTCAAAACAATGCTTCCTCATGATTTGTCATTCTGTTTTGTATTTGTGGTTTTTTACTATTTTTATTTTCCCAAGGTTTTCCTCGTCCTCCAACTTCTTACATCATTTTCCGTACAACTAGCGAAAGCGATACAAGAACAATGAAAAGGCGAGGCAAGAATTATATGGCATAAGTAATATTGGAAAAATTACAGATACACAATTATTTCTATCATTAATACATTCAGACTCGTCCCCAATAAGTTGCTCGGCTCGTAGTTGATGATACTCGACGCCGGGAAAGACGATTTGGACCCCCGCGTAGCCGAGTGCCGGTCGATCGGATCATCTCCTTCTGAGCCGCACGCAGCCGCCACCGTTCCCGTTGTCGTAGTCTTCCTACCATCTATGACGACACACATATCGACGCTGTTGACATCAGCAGAGGCCCTCGCACTCGCGCTGCTAGCTGTACGCGTGCCTCCAGGCGCACAGTGGTCATCCAACATGCTAGTACAAGGGCGCTCCGCATCACGTGGCTTTTTCTGATTTCTGCCAGCATTGGTTGCCTCACTTGCTATCGTGCCTGTCTCAATGTCATGACCCATCGCGCCGTACCTAGCCGCGCATTGATACCCCAGACGCTGTCTGCAAGAACGCCGAACAGGCTCCGTTTCTGCCGCGTTCCGTGGTAATATGAAAAGAAGAGGCCCGATTGGGATGGGCCATATTTTCAAGATCAACGAGAGAAATCATGATGAGTCAGAGTCTTTCTCGTTCGGGGATCGCGGCTAACGCTAATGGCTGCCCTCCTTGTACTTCATCTAGTTCTATTAATACGGGTGGAGCCAAGCTAACTAGGAAAAGAAACGTAACATCTTTCGTTCAATAATTCTGAGCGAAGTTGTAGTAGTGCTACATCAGATTCGGGTGCTTACATCAGTTACAGCTTATTGCGTATTACAATTGTCAAGGCTACACTTCGCCTTCATGGTGAATGATGCGTATGCAACACAATTCATGCTCGTTCCTTTCCATAAGATGAGCGCCGCCGCTTCGTAGCCAGCCAAACAACTTGACCCGGAACTTCCAGAAAACGGCAAGCATAAAGACGAGTAGCAGGCTGCACACCATCGCCGTTGGGTCATTGAAGCTGATGTTGGCCACAGAATGCACGGTAGTAGCTGGCCTCAGGTCTACCGGTTGAACAAAGAAGGAGCTCCTCGTTGCACTGTCTGAGCCATTGTCTACAGGTCCCGCGGAGGGGTGCAGCTCGCGAACCTGATTTGCGAATTATTTTGTCACTTTGAACAAAATCAAAATGCTTCGTCGGCTAAATAAAACTACATATTATTTTATTTAGCTGAAATAAATGGGAATCAAGTGGCCGAAGAAGTTCTGGAAGTAGAAGTTGCCAGAAGATGTGACGTCACAGACAAAGTATGGCTTTTCTACTTCTAAAGAAGTTTATGCGTGATAAGAAAAAACTCCCGGAGGTGTTCCTGGTCTCATTCTTGTTCTTCTGGTCAAACGATGAAAGAAAGGGGCTAAGCACCTGCAGACTTTCCGAGCATGTGCCGGCTTGTGGTTGTCCTCTCTTGTCCAGGAAAAATCTGAGCAATTTCCTAGAGTAGTCATCCCATACCCAATTCCGACCATCAATGAAAGACCGGAGGCCTTCTTCGCCCTCGGCTAAAACGAACCTTGGAGGCCCACGCCCATCCCCTTCGAGGCGAACGCCATACTGAAGCAACGCGCTGTGTGCGGGTGTTTGATTGGCTCATACTGTGAAGAAGCGCTGCGGGAGTGCTAGCCAACGACCCAGGGCCACGCGTGAAGCGTGACGCCACGCGCGGCGCCCAGAACTTAGGGAAGGGCGAAATAAAGCCGCAAAAGGTTCCAAGATCATGAAGTAGGGCGCTATCCTGTAGCCCAGTGCCTCTACAAAGCCTCTAGACGACAAAGAACCAACTTACTGTAAGGAGCGCAATGACTAAACGCCCTCACTGGCTCGCCACATTGTACGTAGCAGCAGCGTGTCCCCATAGATAGTTGGAGACCACCGCGCCCGGGTCCCCGATGGGTGGCGGAAAATATTGGCGGAAAGTTGCCGACGCTCACGCGCGCGGCCCTCGTCCTTGTCTCATTAACAAGAAACCAACAAGAGCGCCGAAACCGAAAACAGAACCGACACAACCCACACACGAACAGGCCAGCCACTGCGCCGAGAGCACCACAAGCCGACGAACCAGGCCGCGGCGCAGCCACGCGCCAAATTCTCAAACGAATGCACAACGCCAGAGGCCTCCCAAGCCTGGAGAGAGGAACAGAGAAACCACAAAAACCAGAGACGAGAATCGCGGAGCCTTATCTATGCGGTCCCGCTGCAAATTGTTGCGAGTTTGCTCTTGGCGGTCCATTTCCGTGCCCTCATCCGAAAGACATGGAAGACGAAAGCCGCAGAACCTTCGCAGAATGTTCGCGGAAAGTTTGCAAAGTTTTACAATGTTGGAAATTCGCCACGCGCGTGCCTTACTTCGCAAACCCTTCAGATAGTAAAAATACCGAAGAGCCACCCCAGGCGTTCAAGCGCAGAAAAATGGCCAACGCCGCCCCGCTTTGCCAGCCACTGCTTCCCCGCCTGCGTCTCCCCTGTCCTCAACCCAAGTTCTCTACACCCCGAGGAGCTTGCACAGGCGTGCCGCGGCTGTATTCCAGGCGGCGCCGATGCCAATGACGTGTGGGCGGTGCGGTCCGCACCCACCTGGAGCCGGGGCTGTTAACAACAGAGAAACACAACACAAAGACAAAGCACCCGAGGCCGCGCCGGCGCCTTTTCCATCCTTGAAAACACAAGAGAGACAACGAAGACCAGCCCAGGCAACCTCTCGCGAAGATCTCGCGGCCATCTTTCGCACCGACGCGGTGGCCTCCAACCATAGGCCAAAATTTTTCAAAAAGTTAAAAAGTAGAACTTTTGCGGCCCTGCTTCAGGTCCGTCGCCTTGCCCAGAGCTGCCCACCCTGAAGAGAAACACAGCACAAACTAGAAGCGCCCGAGGGTGCGCCAGCACCTCCATTCTTCACCCTTACAAACACAGAGACAACGAAGGCCAGCCCGAACCCCAGCAACTTTCAACGAAGACTCCGCGGCCATCTTTCACATCAGCGCGGTGGGCTCCAACGCTTTGAAGAGAAATCCTAAAGGAGAAGACCCCCCCAAGCAGAGATAGCGGGGTCTCACGACCTCCCCCAAGCAGCCAGCTTCAGTAGCAACATCAGCGAAATCAAACCCCTCCGGCGGGCAAGCGTTTCCTCTTACTCTTTCCCTTGCTTTCACAGGTTGGCAAGATCATAAGCAAGCACATGCGGGCCGCGCCTAGTCTCTTCCGCGAGCGTGCGCCCCATAGTTTGGCAGCAGCTTCCCAGTCAGCGCGGGCCACCTCTTTGCACCTGCGCAGGGAGGTCGAGGCCTTGGCGGTTTGACTGTGGAAAAGAAGAGAATCAGTAATGTACGCCCCAATTCCCGGCTCAAAGTTTTAGAGGTTTCAGTCGTTTTAAAGCGTTCCGACATTCTGGCAGTCTACCTCAGAATATTGCTGGGGCTCAGTGCGGTGCCCGCAAGTCCCAGCCCTAGAACATTCATTCGCAAGCCCCCAATGCCCAAGGCATACGCCCTAGCCAGTGCGTGGTGTCCCCCGAGCGCCCTAGCTCCTCCAATCACCCGAGGCGCGACCAGCACCAGCCACGCACACGGTCAACAGCCCTCACCGGGCAAGTAAAGTCAGCAGCAGCTGGGCGTAGAAGAGCAAAGATAGGACCCAGCCGACACTGACACGCTACCGCGTTTTGGGCCTCTGCGACATGTCGCGTAGCCTCGGGTAGACTATGGATGCGCCACGCGGCTTGTCTAGTTGTGCACCTCAAAGCGACGAGAAACCTCCAAAGTCAAGACTTAGCGTAGCAGTTTGCCGCCAGTGCTTCGCTCACTCTCCACCAGTTGGAGGGGGTGCCATCTCCCCAGTCATCTACTAGCATTCTGGCTAGTAGCGCGAATTCTCTTCGTGAGAAGGCGTCGGCAATGTTGAGCTTCGTGCTCTCATATTTGTAGTATGCCTGTGTCAGTCTCTCACAGCGCAACAGTGTCGCGCTCGAGACCACATCCATCAAGAAGCTTGACTTGGCTGCCATCTTCGCCGCAGCATAGAGGTGGGCGATGTTATCGATCGAAAAGTCGGTAAACAGGCTAGGCCTGGCCCAAAGCCTTGCCGCAATGTAAGTCACGAGGGCTTCCAGGATCTCAGTCCGAGGCTCCAGCCCGAGGAGCTGTTTTTTCCGTTCAGCCTCATTTATGTCCATCATAAAACCCCGGCGCTTGCCATCGGGCATTATAATGAAACCACCAAGACAAAGAGTGCTGTCCTTACCCCCATCCGTAGACGCGTCAGCCCAGCAGAGTGAGGCCTGTAGCGGGGCAGGGTGTCCCGGCCCGTAGGCCATCGCCGGTAGGCGGGGCATTATTGCTCTTACGATCTCAATGCGGCGCCTCAATGCCCGGCGTTCAAGTTTCTTCCGTATGAGGCAGCCAGGCGTCGCCTCATCGCGCCATTTGTAGAGCGGCCTCAGCGCCTCAGTACCCATTTAGTGGCGGACGTGTTCTTGCGTCGCAAAGGTACACAGTCCTACTGCCTTTTGGATTGTCTTGTCTCTATGGTAGCTCTTTCGCCTGCAGGGCTTTCAGGATGGCCTCCAGCGCCTCAGCCGTCTTGTCAGTCAGTGCATTCCTGTGGTAGCGTGACCCATAGGGTGGCGCGCCCAGTGCGCGCCGCTCTCTCATAGCTATATATTAGGCCCAGTGCCCGGACGCGGCCAGCCACAGCCGAGGACTGGCCTGCCTTCGGTTTATCAGATAGCTCCAAGCCTAGCGCCCGCGCTAGTTGGTGCACGAACCGCTTCGCCGCGCCGATCTGTGCCATGTCGGTACCGAAGTAGTTTTGGTCGTCGATATATGCCAAGAGTGGCAGACCAAAATGGGCCGCCACAGCCATCAGAAATTGAGGCGACAACAGAAGGCCGGCGCAGCCATGCAAGGGATGACAACTATTTTGCTGGTAGGTCTGTGCAACAAACTAGCCTACCAGCGGAGCACTCGCATGAGAGAGCCGAAAGCCTTCACGAGTACGACAAAGGCAGAAAGAGTGAGTGTTCCGCTGGAGGCGAGGTGCTGAAAGACCGAAAGAAAGGGAGAGGTGGGCGGGAAAAATTTTCGAAAATAGAACGAGTAACCGATAGCGATACTTGAAAGCGATAAACGATAGCGAAAGTGAAAGCGAAAACGATAGCGAAAACGATCTACACGCGTGGCCAACACGTGTGCCGCGTGTAGGATGCGCGGCCCCCACGAAACACGAGAATACGAAAAGCGAAAATACCGACTCCAGCACTAGTCATCACCCCAATCAGTTACGGCGAACGCCTCCGCTGTCCTTGCATAACAGTGACTGAGGCGACAACAGAGGGCGCAGTCATGCAAGGGATGATAACTATTCTGCTGGTAGGTCTGTGCAACGAACTAGCCTACCAGCGGAGCACTCGTATGAGAGAGCCGAAAGGCTTCACGAGTACGACAGAGGCAAGATAGGCGCCATAGTTTACAAGTCAGCGACTTGCAGGAGCCTGATAAAATGTGGCCCGAATATTGAAGGAGTAGCATTTTGAGACGAAGCGATCGAGCACTTGTGCATAATCCACAACACGACCCCCGCAGGAGCCAGCGCCAATGTCAAGTGTGAGGCAATGCATTCACTGGTAGCTCTCCAAGCATAGTCTCTAGCAGCCTCCTGCTTTTTCCTAGACCTTTAGACTGTGTTAAAGTGAAGCCAATAATTAAAACTTTAAAGAGAATAGCTGCCTTATGACTCAACTCAATAGCCACTCAATAACTATTGAATAGTTATTGAGTGTTGGCCAATGGTCGTTACTGGCTCAAGATCCAACGAATGGGCCTGATTTCAATGCCAGACGACTGCTCTCACTCGTCAACTTGATCATGATCAATGCCGTTCCTTGTCTTGAACTCTTGTTAGTTCCTCGCGTGATCATCGTCTGAACTCAATGAGTTCCAACATGAATGGGCAGCAAGATCTCCCAGATCTTTAGCTGCACTATGACCCTCCATGATATCCCATTGACATTGAACCCATTTCGATACCATTTCAGGGCCTTAAACAGTCAGCGACCATTCGGCGCGTCCGTTCTGATCGTCTTTCTGTTACATTGCAACTCTAGTGATTCCATTTGCTCTCAAGAGCTTCGTAGTGCGCTTGGACGTGTTCGGGTGTTCCAGCACTATTCCAAGCCCTTGAGCCTTACCTTACTCAAGAAATTGCTAGTCAATTCATTGTAGAAGTAAAGAAAACAAAGTCGCACCATTTGCGCCACAAAATGCCTGATATGAGTCTTGGAGAGATTTCACCCAAACTGGGGCAGAAATGATCTGACTGGCGTGACTGGCTTCGAGCGGTAACGCAAGAAGCAGACGCCTGGACCTAGTCCAATATCTCAGCAACGTGCTGAACGGCAATGCGGCAGGGGTTCCGAACCAACCCAACAACAACGACCGCAAGCTCCAGCAGAATTGGCGAGATTTGAAGAGCGTGATCACCAAGTCGCTCAAAGGTGCAGCCGAAGCACATATGAAGGACCAGGATACCACTGCAATGAACGCTGGCGAAGTGGTAACGAATCTCCGTGACGCTGGTTTCAGTCAAAATGACCGCACAGAGCAGCGAATCTCTGTTAGTAAAGCGCTGGAAGGGATGCACTTCACGACTCGCGACGTTCTAACATTCCTGGCGAAGGTTAGAGATGTCGCGAACCAATCTCCGACCGTCTACCCGCCGAAAGTTGCTGATCAACAAAACGGGAAGGAAGGCGAGACGTGAGAGCCCATTGCAATGGTGTTGAAGCCTGGGAGTTTGAAGGTGATGCTGTTGTGTTCCACGCACAAAACCCGAACAGAAGCAAACGACAATCAATAACCAGCAAAAAGCGGCGGCCTGTTTTTCCCTCCTTTTTCTTGTCTCGTTTTTGAGCACTTTTTTTTCAAAGGTTCGCCGGGGGCAGGATTGTGCAGGCCGATAACGCTATCCGGCAGGGACTTTGGGAAAATCCTGAGCCTTGTGCGTGATTCACGCAGTACCCTTCGACAAATGGGCGCCACTGACTGGCGAGCGAGTCAGCGTATACAGATATGGGCCAAGGCGTGGGCGCGTATCGGTGTGCCCAAGTGCATGCCATGCCATGGCGCAGATTGCTACGCACATAGATAGAAGCCAGCGCCGCGAGGGCGCCGCTTGCTGTAACAACATGCAAGACAACCACGCGCATCCACCGGCGCACACCCATCCCATGCCACGGCTACAAGCTTCCTGCGTGTGTGTCAATCTACGGCAGCAAGAGCGACACACAGAAGCAGAGAAAGAGGCGCGCCACCTGTGAGATAAAAACCAAGCGCCACACACATAGTTAGACGCGCGCGCGCGTTCTCTATGCATCCCATGCCTATGATAGGCGCACAAACGTCCGCGGTGGGCCGCGTGAGATGATGCGCGTCCAGGCATAACTAAGCGCGGCAACCAAGATAAGAGAATGAAAGCGGAACGATCCACACACGCAGCGACCCGGGGGCGCGTCGCTCGACAGGTCGCGCGTTCGGTGGATTGGAGTCACTGGCAGCGCCCGGCACGTCGGCTGGGTTTGTTGGTTCGTTCTCCCCGGCGGGCTGGCTTGGTGTATCTGGCAGACAGGCGGCCCCACTCCCTGCCAGCCTGCCTGACACGCAGAAAGAAGCCCGGCACGTGGCCCGCCTTGGACAAGCAGGGGCCCGAGGCTACCCGTCGGCGGGTCGCGCGCGTGATGGATGGCGTGCCCCGACTAACTAGTCGCGTGCGCTAAGCTAAGCGGAGCCAGTAAGAAAAACTGCTCAAGGAATTCACAACCCCCAGCCACCCGCCAGCGGATCACGAACGAAGACAAGCACGCCCCACAGGAGTCGCCTGCTATCGAGTGAGAGAAAACGCGTGAGCTGAACTTTCAGAAACTTTCAGCAAGGGCTTAACTCTCATAGGGATAGGCCTCCACTTTTGCAACTTTAGGACTCAGCCGCTTTATTTTTTGTTTTCTCTTATTTCTGTTTTTTCCCCGTGGTTGTGCTGTTATCAGGAAGGGGCCGCCCAAGAGACGAACCAACCCGGTTTCTTGGATAGCATTATAATATATATAATCCTATCGCACTGGGGGTGGAGGAGGAGGTGGAGACATCCGACGCGAAGCTACTTATATATACTTATATACCTAGTGGCCACGGAGGACGCGCTCTCAATCGAGTGCTGCACTGTGACCACGCGGAGACGGTGACGGACGCCGCCAATGCCATCGCCACCAGAACAGCTTACAGACGTGACCTGCTTGAAGGTTGTTCGCAATGTTCTTGCTCGATCATTGTGGTCGATTAATACGCCCTGCGGGATGTTGCTCATCGCAGGGAGGTTTTCATCATCAAGATCAAGCTTGAGCAGATCTTTCATGTTTTTCGCAATCTGCTTCGCAGCCTCTTTTTTAGGTCATTAGCGGTCAGGATGATTACCAAAACCTGTGTATAAACGCGTAAATAAATAATGAATGTGTAAACGTCGACGTATGGTAGCTAGCCGTTTACTGTGCTCGCCTGAAAAGTGCGTTAATTCTATTACCTCCAGTACGAGGCCCAGTTCGAAGATTACGATGAGCCGGAACCGGAAGATCAAAACTTTTACTTTACTTAAAAAACCTAAACCTAATCTAACTGAAATGTAGCCATAAATCAGATAGGGTCTGCCCCGTGGAGCAACTTCACGCCCTTCAGTCGCCGCATCTTGGTGAAATCTTCCGTAGTGTAGAACGCCGGCTATCGCCTTGGGGCCAGGAAGAGCATATAACATACGCCCAGCACTCTCCAGTGCATGATAAGGCGTCGAGAAGCCCTGTTTATATATTTTCAATTTATTCTGGGCTTGGATATTAAACTCGAAGGATGGGGTAGGGGTGCTTCCTGTTCTATAATCTTTGGAAAAACACTCACACGACGTTGTTCTTGCTCGCTGGCTGAATTGAGATAAGCTCATTCTCGATACTTCTCATCAAGTTGGTGTTGGTGTCGTACAAAAATTAACATTGTGCCAGTGCTTGTGGATGTTGTCAGATAAAAAAAGAAATATGAGCACCCCTTCGCACTTGGTGAATCTTGAGTGCTCTTGTTGTCCGACGATTTTGTGATGCTCCAGTTCATGATCTGCGTTTTCGAGTACTTGCGCAATCCGTCCCATGACATATTTATCATTTTCGTCCTTTGCCCCTCCAAACGTAAGGAAATTGTTGAGATATGTCTTAGTTGGAAAAACAAAACGTCGTACCGTGTAGGCATTGTTTTCCAGCATACCCGAAAATGAAACGGCAAAAAACTGGGCGCGCCTGTGAGTGTCGTGGTCGATGGTAGTGCCATTCGATAGCAATGTTGCGCATGATTAATTTTCCCGCAGTTGCTTGTGGGTATTTCAAAAATGTTTTGCTGAACATGAAATTCAAATTGTTGCGAATCCCATTCCAAAAAAAATATTAGAGCGTGAATTATTGATAACAATGGAATTAGAACCTTATTATATTAAAGTCGTAGCTGCCATCTTCTGTATGCTCCTCGTCGTCGCTTTCAGCTTTATGCTCTAGCTGGTCATTGTCGCTGCTGTTATCTCCTTTGTAGACCAGGACCACACGTACTTGATTTCCGCAATCGTCTTCGCTGACAAAATCTGTATGCACATATACATTTGACCCTTTAATCCTTTCTGGTTCTTCCTGTCTCTGGCTATCCAACTGCAAGTACTCGTCCATTTTTGTGGCAGCCTCCATAGCCGTTTGTGGTGGGGATCATTAGAGGTCACATCTAGAAGAAGACGACGACGAAACGGAAATAGGGTGGTCTAAAAAAGCAATATCATCGAAATGTTTGGAATTGAAATTGGGTCTCGCAATAAATCATGGCACAGGTTGCCGTTGCCGGTGGACGAATTTACAAACAAATAAAAATTCAAATGCATTTCATTTGGCGTAGGAACGAAGCACTGGATAAGAGAATCTCGCAAAAACAACAATGCTGCTTTTTATGGATAAGCAAGCTCCTCGAATTTCATTTGTGAGTGATGTGCTGAGTGTGTATGTGAATGACTCACTTGTGCACCATATTCCAAAAAAGTAAGTAGGCTGGTCTGAGTAAAAAAACAGTGAGGCTCTCATTCACATTCATGGTGGACAGACCTTTACAACTTCAGCTCAGTTACATCTAGCAGTTACCAAACTTGAGTTTTCGCCCTTTCATAAACTCCGTTCCACCAGTCTTCGAAAAGGGTCCATGCTCTTTCGTCTCCAGTGTATCTGTACACTTCGGCAGCGATCTCCTTGAGAACTGCTTTACCAACACTACCAAAACCGGCACCAACAGCTGCAAGGTCGTGTATTTTTGCTGCTGATACTGGAAATTGTTGTGGTGCGTTGCCCATCTTTCGTAATGTTTATGATTTGTATCTTGAAGAGAATGGTGCGTGTGTGAATGACGTACCCACTCACGACCTCCACGGGTTTTATGATGTGTCAAGATGAACTTGAACTCACTTGCTATGTTGAGACAAGTCTTCTTCTACTACTTACTTTTACGAACAATTATACTCATTATATTTATAAGAAAGTACACCATCAGTCCACAGAGAATCGATAGCACCTATGAAAGATGAAGATCTTCAAGTTGATGCGAAGGTCCGTTGACACTTGCTCAATCATACCCAAATTGAAAAGTGATTCAAATTTCGATTTTTTGAAGGAGCAACTGCGTGCAGCTGCATTAATTGCGACTCAAACGGAAGCGATTTGGAAAAACTGCTTCTGTATATGTTCCAGGGCGCGGGGCGACGCTCCCCCCCCCTAGCGGGGAGTGACGGGGGGGGGGCGTGCGGCCCTGGATCATATATAATATAACTTTTAAAGTTAAAGGTTAAAGTTTAACTGCAAGTGCGACAGAGCGAGCTTTTACTACGACCTCAAGAACGACGTTGCTACGAGGGTTAACCATCATGATGAAGGCGATTTCTGAGCTCCTTCTCTTCGAAGTGGATGGGTAACGATAATGGCGGGAATATACTCGACAGCTTCCACCGGGGTGGCTCTCTCGTTGGTTTTGGCGACCTTTTGCTGTTTGTGGAACCAGCCGAGTCCTCTTGGTCTTGTCGATGTCGAATAATTACGACTGCAGCTTCGTTAACGAAAAGAACACACAAGTCGTATTCGTAAGACCCCGAGTTATAAACAAGGGCCCGTAAAATCACAAGACAAAGGTCCTCGTCAATCTCATCAATCAAGATCAAAGTCGCCCTGCTGGCCCTGGCCCCTGCATTCCATATATATAATTGAATTGTCGTGTACTCAGAAGTACTAGCGAGTCAATGACGTCGACAGAATGGTTTTCATCTTCCAAAATCGAGATTCAAAAATGCAGGACTCCACGCCGATGGATTACTATCTTGTTCCTTAATATCGATAGATAGAAGAAGACGCAATGGCAATGCTGGCTTAAATATTATTTACATGATAAGATATGCATATGTTTATCTTTTTTATGTTGTGCTAGTGCTTCTATCTTCTCTTTCTAATTCTATATCAATGTCTTCTATTTCGGAAACTCATGCTTATGCTGATCTGTGACAGTGGATAGCGCCCTTGTATTATTTTTCGTATGTACATGTACTTGTGCCAGAAGTGACGGGATAAAAACATATAGGGAATAAATCTGATCAGCATTCCAGCACAAGTAAGTTGTATTTTGCAAACAACAAGGATGTTTCTAGTATGAGAAGATGGTCCACAATGGAGAAGATCTCAACAATCTTTCCATGTAGAGCGAAAATTGAGGTGCGATAAAATGATTCGATTTCGACGATGATCAAAATTATTCTTGATGGTGGAAAAACGAAAATTATGTTTTCATTATCGGGTGCTCAAAACGGAAAATGGTAAAAAAACGATAAAGATGATCAACCTTTCTAGATCACAAGGACTCCTATGCACGACTATGTTCTAGAAGACTCAGTTCTTGTTTTCCTGCCCACCTAATCTTCTGAGCAATTTTCAGTGTTAGTAGCAGTAATAGTGGATCAATATCAGGGCATCGAAATATGTGTGTCCGTCACATGCACAGAGTCAGAGAACCTTCAGAGCCTCTCACATGTTGATGCCGCGGAACAAGTCTTAGACTCTGTTCTAGTTTCTGTGATTCACCCGTCGCAAATCATCATGGTAAGACGAGGAGAGGAAAATTTGGAAATATGAGAGAAGAAGTCGAAGGGGAAGTTGCTGATAGTTTAGTAGACCGTGTACTTCCATTCGTCTTAGGGAAACATCAAACATGATTCTCCTACGAAGATGAGGAAAATACCGTAATCCTGAATCATGACACGCAAATTCTTTGAATTTGATATGTTGAAATAGAATACGAATGACAATCAAGCTTACTGGCGTCTACTAAATCTAAAGCTACCTACAATTGACTACGAGTACTCAGTGACAGTGTAGCGCCGCATCTTGATGCTTGCTTCCGGACGTGAGAACGAGCGGCTTGCTTTTGCTGCTGCGCAGCAAAGGTGCGTCGCGTGGCTGTGCGCGTCCCTTGCGGTCGTATCGCAACATGCACAGCTGAGCGCAAATCGCCACGACTCCGACACTGAAAAGAAGCGCGCAGGCACCCAGCAGCCACGGCCAGTAGACAAAAACATGCTCATCTCCAGCAGAAGCGTTTGGGTGCTGCAGAAAGTCGGATGCTGTTGTGTCTGGTGCTCCTCTTGCATTGACCGCTGCTCCTACGGTTGAAGTAGGTAGAGATGGTGGTACTGGTAGCTGTCCTCTCGTATGAAGATGCGAACGCGACAGAAGTGTTGCTGCTGCGTCTTCTGGTTCTCCTGTGTTGAGCAATGCACTACTTGGCAATGCTGGCATTTTCGACAGCGGCGCGAAGGATTCAGGATTGAGATGTCGCCACATGAAGACTGGGCTGATGTAATGGGATTCGCGACCCATTTTCAGGTCCAGCATTGCAGACACCATCGTGGCGAACACGATGTTCTTCTCATGAAGAGGGGCCGCATTATTTTAGAGGTAGGATTTTGGAGGTATTCGCGTTTCTGTTTCCCCTGTGTTCTGTCTTTCTCCCTTAGGAGAGGTAAGACAAACGGTGACCTCCTCTTAACTATTTCCGAGGTAAGACAAACGGTGACCATTTCAACAACCTCCTCTTAACTATTTCCGCGGTTTAGCAGATCCAAATTGTCAATGATCCGCTTCTCACCAGTGCGCAGTGCCATTTTATAGTTGTGGACATGCAAGGCTACAAGATCAAAGATCTTTTCTAGGGTGATATCCTTTGTTGATGTCGATGATGATGTAGGATCTCGATCTCCTTTATTGATGTTTTGCTCAGCGCTGGCGCTTTGGAGGTTCTGCCAATTCCGTACTCGCACCCCAACAGAACCAAACGGCGATGAGTTCGCTGGAGGTAGAGGCGAAACGTTCCTGCCTGAGTCACGTGCTACACTTCTCGCTAAGCCGGGAAACCAGGTCTCATGCTGGCCATCCACGTACTCTGCCACTAACGCGCCGGCGTAGTCCACTGCTCGCTGCTTCATGCTGAACGTGCCCGCTCCGGATAGCGCGTAGAGCATCCCTATGAACAGGATGCACTCGTCTAAGGATCGATGTCCGTTCTGGTCCTGGTGGAGGTAATAGAGCAAGAGACCGAGAGCAAACTGATCTGGGCTCGTATCTTGGTTCGCGTCCAACGCGGGCTGTAGGAAACCTACAGTACCACCGCCTTGAAGCTCCTTCGGGTCTTCCGCGAGACCACCGAAACGAACGAGGAGGTCGCGCGCGGTCGTTGGCGTTCGCTCTGCACCAACCGCTCCAGGAGAACTACTAACTGGAGGCACCGCGCCTGGTACGAAGATAGACGAGCCGAAATCCACAAGTTTGATGCGCAGCTTCGTATTGCCACTAGAACTACCTCCGAGGAGGTTCATCTGTCCACTTGACAAAGCAAACATTAGAGCTTGGGCTGCCACGTTTGCATCCCTGACAGCAACTTTGGCTTCGTTTTCAAGTAGAAAACGGGCCAAGCAGGATGTCGTTGGGGATGCAGCTTCAGCGGTAGCCTTAAAGACGCAACACTGACCGAACTTGAAGACATATTCCTAGAGGACCCACCAACTTGGTCCTGGTCCTCCTGCAAGACTAGGATGTTTTCAGGCTTCAAATCGCGGTGTTGGAGTCCCGACCGTTGGATCAAGATCTGCAAACGAAGAAGCTCTCGGCTCAGTGCTGCTGAGTTCTCGTTCAGGCTTCGGCCCTGTTGCTGTAGTTAGAGGCAGGGCTTTTGCGTTTCTGTTTCCCGCTTGTTCTGCCTTTCTCCCTTAGGAGAGGCAAAGCAAACAACAACAGGAACACCTTTAGCCTACACATAATGTAGAGCGACACGACGGCGCGCAAGTTCACGCTGCTCACCAGCATTTTTGGGCTGCAGCCTCGCGATTGCCTTCGCCTGCGCATCGACGTGACTGCGTGCGTGTGAGAGTGACTCTAGCCACTCGCGAAGTTCCTTTCCGGGTACCTGTGGTAAAATCTGTCCTGTCCTGAGCGTTGCAGATTGATAATGATATTGTTGATGAACATGAAATCCCAAACTACTTATTCACAGACCTAGACATAGACTACCAGCTATGATGAACGTACTACTTATGAATGTATGTTGATAGGTAGCGATCGAGCACAGAGTACATCAAACAGTACCCATTCCATTGCGAGGAAGACCAGATTCGCATTGTTTTCTGAGCCATGAAGCGCGAGGTCGTCGCAGGTCAAAAGTCGACGCATTGATACGTCTGGCGAGACTTTGCGACAAAGCTCAGCAAGCACTCCATACTCTCTATACAGAGCGTCCACCTCTGCGTCGTTTTCGAACGTCAGCAACTTGTTCGCTCGTCCTCTACCGCTTTCCCCACGCGCGGTAGCTTGTGCAACCTGCCGCTCAAGCACAGCCACTCCCCGTCCGCCCATTGGGATCTTCACAGCGACAACACCACACTTACTTTTACCTTCGTCTCCACTACGACAATGCAGCCGACGGCACTTCCAGACACGTCCGAAGGATCCCTCAGACAGGACAGAGTCGAGCTCGTAGCCTCTCTCGCGCAGGAAGTCGCGCCACACCAGTTCAGGCGCTTCTCGGTACGCCCATGGGATTGGCACAGGTCCGCGTTTATCGAGGTTCACGTCGAGAGCCGTGACAGTTGTGCGATCCGAAGAGGAAGTGGAAGCCTGTTCTTGCGGTAATTTCACACTACCTCCGCGGCTAGGAGCAGCATAAGACGAGTTCGGACCGCCGACTGAGGCTGAAGGTAACACACGAGAAGGGTTTGATGTCAATGCTAAGCGACGTGCAAAACAGGTAAACGGGTTCACTGCCGAATGCTGCGAGGAAAGCAACGGCACAAGAGTTGTTTGCTGCAGGTGGAGAGATAGCAACCACCAAAACAAGCAGCGCCTAGAACCAAACTTCTGGAAGCCAGCAAACATTTTCATTTTGTGCGATGCATGGGCCTATGCCTAGAAAAATTGAGATATCATTCACACGGCACAGGTGAAATTTTCATCTCTGTATCTCTCTCGTCTCCAATGCAAAATACCCAAACCAGGTTTGAGAACTTGGCGTTCTGAACTACAGAGAAAACGCGGTCATCCGAATACGAACCGCTTCATCTCGCAAAAGAGCAGCCGTTGGCTTTGATACAACCAATACCAACACGACCAAGGAATCAACAAACAGTTCAAAAACAAAACATGTTCCTAACAGCGACAGATAATGTGCCTTCTAGAAGAAGTCTGGTTAGTTCTGGTTGACATGATTGGATTCTTTTTCTGGGGCGTCACTACAACAAAGTATCCTAATTGCTGCATGCAGTTGCAGCATACTGCTCTGCCAGAGTTGGAGAGACGAAGCCCTCACCCCCTTACGCCACATTTCCAACCATTCCACCGTAGCGCTCCCGGCAAAACTTTCCTCCGTCTTCGAGCGCCTGTGCACAGAAACTGTGTTTTACCACTTCCTCAAGCGACATTCGTTCGCTTGGCTTCTTTTTGAGCATCTTCGTGATCAAGTCGCGACATTCCGGACTCAGATGCTCCGGGAGGGGAATGAAGGATGCTAGGGGACGAGAAGAACGGGGATCTAGAAGTGGTGTCGATCAATTATTGTTGGAGTTGTGTATCAGATTCAAGAGGACGAGCGCCGCATGCAAATCCTCCATAAAGTATGGTCTTTCGGATACGGATGGGATTATGCAATTCATGTTCATCAAAACTTTTTCATAAAATAGGGTCTTTCTGATCGGATTTTCTTGTATGTGGCCAGCGTGTCCGTCCCTTCAAATGGAGCCCGGCCGACGACGAACTCGTAGAGGAGCACGCCTAAACCCCAAACATCCGCCATCGTGGACTTGGCTCCCTGCGCGCCGATCATATTAGGCTCCACCACCTCTGGAGCCAGGTAGTCCAATGTGCCGCAAAAGGTAGTTCGCTTCAAGCTTGGCGCGTGGACAGACCAACCGGTGGTATGAAAGAGGAAAGAGATGAAAAAAACCGATAGGCTCTGCAACTGCAGCACGTGCACGAAATGATAACCCACGAGAACATTGTAGTTCTTGTAAGTAGATACTTGGACGAATCTCCTATACGTAAAAAAATCCTTTACATTTTATTCACGTACTTGTACATGTCGTAGTCGTTAACGCTAGAAAGGGAAAGGGATGTACACGAAATCCAAGCCATAAAAGTCCGCTATCTTGAGCGTATCCCCAGTCCCCAGCAAAATGTTTTCGGGTTTGATGTCTCGATGTACGACGTGCTTTTTGTGCAGGTACCGAAAAGCATCCACCATCTGTGAGAGATACCAAGCAGCACGATATTCGCTGAAGTATTGCTTGGATTTCAGTACAGCGTACAACTCGCCACCAGGTGCAATCTCAAGCATCAGAAATATCCGATTCGCATCCCAGAAATAGTTGTGCAGCCTGTTTTTGAATGTGAAAGAGGTAACGTTGTTTAACGACTCTGCTTCACACTGATATGGTAATGGTCTTTGGCTTTGTCCTCTTTGATGATAGAAAATAAAGTAAAATAGATACGTATACACAACGACAAGAGGAAGACCAGGTCTACTTATTCCAAGACCTATCCAAAGAAATTAGAATTTATTTAGACAAAGACATATCAAAAGTAGAAATCGAAAAATCTAAGCTTCCCCATACCTGAGAATATTCGGATGCCTCAAATGACACTGGATTTCGATTTCGCGTACGATTTGATGCTCCACGCGGTGCTTCTGCAGTTGTTTCTTGCTGAGAATCTTCAAAGCGAAGACATACTCCGAGAGGCGATCCCGTGCGAGGTAGATGTTACCTGGAAAGTGATGACTTGTTGGATTTAGCTTCGATCGATTTGGCTCTATAGGGAAGATCTTCTTGTTTTTCGAAGTGACAGCGAATGAAGGCACCAGGGGGCATGTGCAGCAATCTTCATCTTCTGTAAAAGTCTAAACTCGTAGGCCTACCTCTAGGTGGTCTTTTCTGCGATCTATAGTACCGAACTTCCCCTTTCCAAGAGGCTTCCCGACATCGATGTCGTCAAGACAGTAGTCCGTCTTCGGGTCCGCTTGGGCTCTATCAATAGGCGTTACCGCATATTCGTCCGCCTCGACGCCTGGACTTCCACGTGGCGTCGTTCGTGCCGGTGCCTTCGACGAGCTTGCTGACATTATGATAGGAAAATGATGTGAATGCTGTAATGCTTTTTGCGGTCGTCATGGTAACTCTCACTTGCAAAAAACTTCTTTCACTCCATGAGGTGGTGATGAAGATGCTGAAGAACGAGATCAAAATCACTATGTAGATCAGGATCCCTATGTAGATCAGGATCACTATGTAGATCAGGATCATTATGTAGATCAGGATCACTATGTAGATCAGGATCACTATGTAGATCAGGATCACTGTGTACTTAGTAGTTATCATCTCCATCCTAAGCAAAAGTACCTGAAGCTGAGGCTCCTGATGGTGCTGCTGGCTTCGGATCAACCGGTACGGCGGTTCCATGCGGGCCAGCCTTTAGTCTTTTTGAACTCGGCGAGACAGGCTTCGTGCCTGGTGGTGGCCGCTGAAGACTGGTCTTGTACTTGCTGAAAATGCTGCTTATCGGGGTCGGCCCAGAGGATGTTGAGGAACCTGCAACGAAGTGGATGGTTAGAAAGAGCAACAAGAGGATGAGAAATAGGAAAAACGTTTGTGTAAAAGAGTTCATCTTGATCTAAGACGAGAGTTAATATAGATTGTGGCCGAGCCGACCTAACTAGAAAAAAGAAAGTGAAAGACGAGAGTTAATATAGAGGTAAAGGGAAGTAAGTTTGTGCAGAACGATGTCGCAAAGAGGGACGAGCTTCATACACAGCGACAGGCTAGGTAGGTCTACATACTCAGTTGCAAATACTCGCTCCACTAAAAGCTCCTCCAAATAGACTCCCGCCACCTATCGGAGCAGATTTCACACTGGCGGGCTTGTGTTTATTCAAGGTCATGCCCATATTCGCCAGTGGATTCTTTTCCTTGTTTTGCGTCCCAAACTGCTTCTGAAACTTCTGCAGCAGTGGCGTCTGCCGATCGTTCGGCTTTGAAGATGAAGAATTGCTCATTCTGCCCGAAGATATGGAGCGACGAGAAGGCGAAAACCAAGTAGATGAAGAAGACTTGGTAGACTTTGTGAGTTATGCTAATGCTTGTCCAAGAAATTGAGATTGAAATCACATATGTGAGTCGTTCTTTTCTCCATCTCCTCTAGCAGCTGCAAGACGAAGCCAGCAACGCTTTTCAATCGCACAGGAAACGCCCCCGCTCGTGTTCTTCGCTTCTTCTATCGGGACTGCTGTGTTGACGTATCAAAAGCAAGGATCATCTTGACCTCCGTATTTCGCCTGCTTTAATCATGCGATGATGCATCTGCATTCGCGTCGAAAGGCTCTGCGGCTGTTCATGACGCAAACGCATGCGCGAGCAGGTACGCGGATTCGGATAACTCCTTCAGTGAACACAGATCTTCGACAGGTCGTTGCAGCTGGTAGAAGCGTAATCACATCAAATCGAATCGAGAAGTAGTTGTAAGTAGTAGTCGTACACGTGACGTGGTTCAACTACGATTCAGCAACGTCGAGGAACAGGCGACGAATCAGACGGGACACGGACCGGGGAGTGTCAACATCGAATCAGATGTGAGAACGGGAGGTGGGCGCATCAAGCTAAATACCGTCTGCTCATGGTCTTGTACTCTGTCTTGCAAAGAAACCAAGGGGAGTGGAGGAGCTAGATCTTCAAGACGTGGGTAGCTTTACTAGTTGGATCTACTGCAGTAACGATAGAGATAGACCAGGAGTACGTAGCCAAGGTGGTTTTTCACAAGTACCTACGTTAGTAAAAACATCAGCCAAGCCCAAGTCTCTCGTCAGAGCAAAGCATGCCCGTTTCAATCCAGAGGAGGCTCTTAAAACTTGGCTATCTGCCGGTTCGTTTCGTGAACTGTCAACTTTAACGTGGAATTTCTGAGCGATTTGCATCCGATTTTGATGACTTCCTTTCTTTTCACATTGAGCCTATGAACACAGCGCAGACGAAGCGGCCAGAGCTGCAGCATTGATTCCTTTGTTCGGCAGAGACTGCCTTAGCAGCGTAGAAGTCAGTGGGGTTGAGGAGTAGCTAGGATGAAAACAAAAACATTCTATGTCCCGTCAATGTCATAAATCTCAGAATCAGATGCGAAAAAATCTGCACCAATATCAATAAATCATTCAACACCAGCAATCACGGAGAAAACATGACCGAGATCGTGTGCATCATGTAGTTCTTCATGTGTATTCTCCATGTATTTGCTATGGCTCCTGTACAGGTTCTTGATATCATGATTTAGTATGTAAGATGTTGCGTTCTCTATGTTGTCCAAAAAGTAGTAAAAATGTCAAAACGATAATGCAGCGTTGGTTCTTACTCTGTCACCGTGACCGTGTCGTTCTTCTCCAAATAATTTTTCATAAACTCTAGTTCTAGTGCTACATGATCATGATCTTCTAACTCTTCTTGTTCGGGTTATTCGGATCGGAGACAGGCGTGAAATAGGATGCCGAAAACTCGTTTGCATGTCCGCGTTTGTAGGCGGGATGGTACCTGGAGCATAAAGATGTAGACGAGGCTGGCGTTGTTCAAGAAGCTACCCTCATACAACTTACATGATAATGATTGTACGTCGTAATGTTTTTTCTTGGGATCATGGTAACCTTTCTCAGGGCAAACTCTCACAGACAGGAATCTACAAGAGCGTGTTTCTACGCATTGCAAAGCAAGACGTTTTTATCATCGCACAATAAACCTACAATAAAGTGGAAGTAAGCGAATTTGTCCGTCGTCCCTGATTTTCTGGTAATGAACCACAATAAACTTACACTTGTACTAAATGAGTCCTACGTCTAACGTAGCACGACTAGATAAAACGTTTTACGAAAAAATCTATTTCTAAATGTGACGGCAAGAATACTTTTCGAACTAGAAATGCAATGTTCTTATTCACTACTAGAAGCAGAATATTCTTATACCCGAATTCGTTTTTGAGCAAATCGATTCCCTTTGCGTGTCCTTCGCGTACCCGTCCATACGCCTTTTTCAGGTAGCCTTCCATGGCATCGAACTGCTTCAAAACTCCACCAATTGAGGCTTCTGAGACCATACTATCGCAATAATCTTGCATCTCCTTTATCTTCGTCTCCAGATCCAGCTTCTGATGTGCGGGAAGAATCAATTATGTCGGGATCTGGAGCTTCTGATGTGCGGGAAGAATCAATCATGTCTGGATCAGGGGTTTTGTAGTAGTTTGTACTTGTTCTTGTAGGAGAATGATCAGAAGTACCACGACGAAGTCGAAGAGGAATACCTCTTGAGCAAACTGACCTCGAACTCGAAGAGGACCTCTTCGAGTTCGAGGTCAGTTTGCTTAAAAAGATATAAGTAGAAGTAAAGGTACTTTTTAATATATTAACATGTATATATACAAGAGGTAAACCAAAACTCTATAGGCTTTCCCTATAGGAGCCCTATAGGAGGCTCTATAGGAAACGCCTAATAGGGCCTTCGTATAGGGACCCCCTATAGGACCCCGTATTTGAGACCGCGGACCTATAAGAAGCCCTATAGGCATCTCTATAGGCAGCCCTATAGGGAACCCTATAGGAAACCCTATAGGAAGCCCTATAAGCATCTCTATAAGCAGCCCTATAGGGAATCCTATAGGAAACCCTATAGGCAGCCCTATAGGGAACACTATACTTCCTATAGGTGGCCCTATAGGAACCCCTATAGCAACCCTTATAGGAATACCAAAGAGACTCACCAAACAGAGAGAACCAACAGAGAGAACCAACAGAGAGAACCAACAGAGAGAACCAACAAAGAGAACCAACAAAGAGAACCAACAGAGAGAGTCAACAAAGAGAACCAACAAAGAGAATCAACAAAGAGAACCAACAAAGAGAACCAACAGAGAGAACCAACAAAGAGAACCGACAAAGAGAACCAACAAAGAGAACCAACAGAGAGAACCAACAAAGAAAACAGACAGAACAAACAAGACAGACAAAACAAACAAAGTAAACAAGACAGACAAAACAAACAGAACAAACAAGACAAACAAAACAAAAAAGACAAACAAGACAAACAAAACAGACAGAACAAACAAAACAAACAAGACAAACAAAACTGACAAAACAGACAAGACAAGCAAAACGAACACAGCAGACACAACAAACGAGACAAACAAGACAAACGAAACAAACAAGACAAACGAAACAAACAAGACAAACGAAGCAAACAAGACAAACAAAACAGACAAGACAAACAGACAAGACAAGACAAACAGACAAGACAAGACAAACAGACAAGACAAGACAAACAGACAA